ACTAGTTTTTCAGAGTTTTATTTTTTGGTTCTGTCAGGTTTTTAACAGAACAGAATACAGGGAATTGATCTGATTTGCTTTCTGAGAGGCTTTTGCTTGTGTCTTACACAAGAGGTTGTTACTGAAAACTTGGTAACCATGGGGTGAAAGGTAAAGCTCTGTTACTGATTAAAAAGAGTAATTGGAAAAAGCAACCTTCGCATCATTTTCCAGAAAGGAAAATGATTGTTAAGTAGGAATGGAGTTAATAGAAATTTTCTGGACAAAATTGTTTTTTATAGGGAAAAATTGTTAATTAAAGATAGTAACTGGAAAGATTTCCCTTTCTGATACAGGGAAAAAGATAATTTTTAGCCTTTCCAGTTGAAAAAATTTTAAAACAAAAAAACCCCACCCTCACATATATTCCAGCAATAAAAAATCCAAGTAAGGATTTTAAACTGAGGAAAGAAATTGATTAGCTGGGGTGAACAACAGTAAGCCAATGGAAGTCCTATATTAGAGAATGATTGGGAAATAAACTTTCAGTTGGTTAATTCTGGTAGTGAAGAAAGTGATAACTAGAACAGGGTGACCTTAAAAAGTTATAAATTAAGCACATGCAAAACAACTAAAAAGCTATTATCTCCATACATTATAATAGAATTTTTTATAATTAATAAGCCAGGACCTCATTATTTGGGTAAAAAAGCTTGGTGTCTTGTCTTTTTTGACATTAAATACTACTTTTAAATGTCAGTTGAATCTTCATAGGGTGGGATGATTTCTATAAAATGTACCTAATTACCTACCTAAGTGGCCTTTAGCTGTGCAATCACACATTTGGCTCAAACATGGACTGTTGTCAGAAATGGAATACTTTTTTTTTTTTTAACATTTGCTTCAGTCCAATATGTTGTAAGTTCAAACAGGCTTATAAAAAAAGCAGAATAAGGTGTTACCCAATAGCTTACACCGCAAAAAATCCACCATGCCTTAACATTTTGTTTTCTGTTAGATCTTTCTTCTTGCTCTTATTGAAAGCCTGTTTGTAACTTCCTGCCTCTGAGGGAGAAGTGTTCTCATGCTTCAGCTGGCTGGTGGAAACCTTGGGAAGGAGCCTTCTCCTGCTCCTTTCCAAGCTCCAATGTGGAGCTGCATCTCACACACCTTTGCCAGATGTCCAGGGAGATGGAAAAGAGAATCATTTCAGTTTTGGCAAGACATAGCATCATAGTTTATTTTCAGTTCAAGTCTTAGTTTTAACTGTGATTTTCTTGTTTTTTCTTTGTATATATTACAAACTTTTAAATCTAAATTTCCTATCTATATTTATCCTCTATTCAAGGTCAAAAAAGTTTGTGTGGATTTTTTTTAGAGATAGTATGGCTTTAAATAGTTACTTTCCTTCTCAAAAAATCTGATTTTAGACTTAGAGGCAGCATGTGAGTCAGCACTACAAAAATTTCCTTTAGACCCCTGGGAATATTTGGAATTCAGCAAACGGCAGCTAGTAGCTGTTCGGGACAAGCTTAATATTAGATTTAATTACTCATTCCTGGATTAAAAAACTAACTGGAATTTGTGCTAATGTACGCCTTCTTCCTGCTACATGCAGGATTTCAGTTTATTCTTCCGGCCTGGATTAGTCTAGTAGTATAAATTTATTTTTTAAAATTGTATTAAATTTCTTTTAGAGAAGTTCAGGATTTGTAAGTACAAACTAAGTACAAACTGGAAAAAGAATTATTAAAGAAAATTTGAGAGACTTGGTAAATTATAATTTTATTTTAATCTGTACAATATTTTGTAGAAACTAGTTTCAGTAATCTGCTTAAACCATGAGAAGCAACCTAAAATAAATATATTTTTGTTTCAATAAATAGGAAGTCCTTTAAAATGTGTTGAATTATAATTTATTCTCTTCAGAAATGATCCTGTCATAAAATTATAGAGACAGCCTACACTACTGTTAAGTTTGATAAAGATTCTGTCTCTCTTGAATGTTTATGATTTTCTTGTGTAGATTAGCACAAAGATTGCACTGTATTTTTATTCTCAGAACTACAAGTCAGAACCACTAAAATGTAATTACTTTATCTTGAAAAGATTCTTACTGGCTACTTGATGAATCGTCTTATGAATACCAGTACATCTTCTCATAACCCATCAGAGCTGCACAAAGTGTACAATACATGTTGTGTTTCTTTGTCATTGTGCATGACAAAAGGTGAGTTTGTTACAGTTGGTTGCAAAGTGGACAGATTGCCATGGTTCACTAAAGCCCAGGCCTGCAATCACTTTTGTTCATGTTTAACTTTGGTGAGTTATATGGGCAAGCACATGGATATCCATGTGCACAGTTAACATGTCTAGTTATGTAAAACTCATATTTTTGCCCCCTAGCTCTGAGGCTGTGCCTGTTAGACAACTCAGAATCAACAACAGAGAAGCTTTTAAACACTTTGTCATTTGGGCATCTGAGAACTTTGTTTCAGTTTGTGCAAGGTTCAAAATTATTTGTTTGGGTTTTTTTGTAAAATCAAAGTCCCCTGAGATTAATTTCTGTGTAACTGTATAAAAATACGTTCATACTCTAAGGGAAAGTCTTAAAAGGAGCCTTCCATAGGAAAATAAAATAATTTTGTCCTTCAGTTCATTCCCTCTAATATCGTCAACCGCTTCCTGGTAAGAAGAGAATTCCTGATCAACTTTTTAATGCAAAGAATGTGCTACAAAAGTCCTTGGGGTATGTAAATCAGAGAACTCTTGGATGAGGCTCTTTAGATTAATCCAAGTGATATCGTTGCTAAGGAGCAGAGAAGTCTCTGAAGTCAGAACTTAATGACGTTGGTCTAAACACAGACGGATTTGTAACTGGAAAGAAACTGAGAGCCAGAAAGTGGATCTACCACAGCTCTTTCCTGGAGAGAAACGGTGGTATTCACCAGAAACAACAATCTCCTCCAAGAGAGAAGCTGGGTATGCTATAGAGGAAGCTGCCACCAGACAGCACTCTGTCTGCTCAGTCTTGTCCGAAGAGCAGCACATCTGGCATCCCACACTAGACCCAGCCCTTTCTGATCATCTATCTCTCACATGCTGCTTTGTCACACACCCTCAGCCACAAATACGCCTCTCACCTGAATCTACAAAAATAACCTTTGCTGGGTGGCAATATGATCTTCTTGTTGTTTCAAGCATGTGTTACTGAAAACACACTTGAAACTATGTCTAAGTGTCTGTCCATGGGACCTTTGATTCAAACACTGCATAATGGGGATATACTGATTTACCCCACAGTACGCTGGGTTGATGTGGGACAGATGTAAGCCACTTTATTTCTCCCTGTCTCTTGACTGGGAGCCAGGAGGGGTCTTGCTCTGAATGCCTTTAGCAGTGTAGTTTCTGTGTGCTACTGTTCTCATGATTAAGTTTTAGAAAATCAGACAAACCTAAGCAGCCCAGCCCTGTCATGGTAATGATCCATAAGTGTACTGGTGCAACCAGAGATGAATTGTTATCACAGATAGGAGATAAGCAACAAGAAAAGAGGCAATGGGCAGAAAACAATGCACAGGAAGTTCTAGCTAAATATGAAGAAGAAGTTCTTTACTGTGCAGATGACCAGAGCAATGTCAGAGATTGCTCAGAGAGTTTCAGAGTCTTCTTCACTGGAGTAATTCTTGAGTCACTCATGGACTTATTAGAGAATGCTAGTTTGATAAAAAATGGCTAGATATTGTCACAGGTCAGAGTGATGTTCCTTAGAAATGATTGTCATGCATTTCTGCACAATAAACCTAACCTGTAGCATAACTTCTTATTTCTATCTTCTGACTGTGTATTAACTGTGAAAGAGATAAAGTTCATCTTTAACAAGGATGAGGTCAACATGAGGAGAAGCATTGGCATTGTCATCAGCAGACCTTCAGCAAAAAAAACCTTTTCTCTTAATGTGTTTTTGCCTGTAAGATGGTAATTGGCTTGGATAATGTGAGCTGGACTCCTGGTCTTGAAACACAGCCCATCCTTGTGAAGTACACTTTCTTGGATGCATTTCTCCTTGAATCTTGGAGAACTGAGGAAAGCTTGTATTCTTCCCTTGTATGTGGCTGCAGGAAATAGGGCTATTCATGAAGCAAAAAGTGCTCTGCTTCTGGAGCACTGGCAGACTTTACACTAAAGGAAAAGTAAAAGCTGAGAGAAAGTTGCAACGGGCTGCCACACAATGTGTTTTTCTACATATTTTCATAGGAAAGACCTTTTAATGATGAGAAGCATAGCACTTTTCTCTGCACGGTTTATGTTATGTTAGCTGAACAAAAATAAAGTGACTGAAACGTGTGTTTAGAAAGAAACAATATGCTGTGAACAATACTGGCTGGAAATACTACTACATGTTTGGAGTGGAGTTGTGTGTCATTGTAATCAAAATAGAGCTGTAAATTATACATTGGGGTTTGGTTTATTCTGGAAGCTAATTTTTAAGAAACTGAGGTTTATTTATTGGTTGTGTCACAGGAATGTTTGGCTTGTTCTAAGTCCAGTCTTCAGCATTTTTCATTTCAAGCCATATAAAGGAGAAGATAATCTATGATACATCTACCCCAGTTCAACAAAATGGGCTCTAACCCATCTCTGTAAATATGCTGCCTCCTGTGTTGCATCTAGGCACAGCAATACTTTCAAAATTATGTATATTCTTCTAAAATTTACTCAGGTTTCAAAACATTGCAAAATATTCTTCAATATGCTTCAAAACCAGTTTATCACAAGGGCAATGGAAAGGTATCAGAGTGGGATTCCCCCATGCACTTCCTTCAGGATGTGTGACTACTTTCCCTGGCATAGGCATTTTAAATGCAGGAAATGGCATTCTAGTTGGGTTTTGTGTCATGAAGACATGAAAAGTGGATAGGATTTATGTGAACGTCAGTGAGATTCCCTCCTTCCCTCCCTGCCTCTTGGTTGGGCAAATAGCAGGCCAGCTCAGCCCTCCAATCACCTGGGCTACCAAGCCTCCACCCCTCAACACTGAGGGCTCCCACACCATCTGCAGCTGGCTTTTAAAGCAAGTCTTTTAATAAAATCACTTAAAGTCATTACTCTTCCATTTATGACAGCAGGAGTTCGGGACTGAGTAAGAGGAGCAGAAACTTGCCCAGCAGAAGTTGCTCTGAATCAGGTTAGTAATGAAGTTTACTGCTGAAAGAAATAACCTGAAAGCAGCCTAGGTTGTCTTTGGAAACACTGCCTTTAACATATGTGCTGTTTGACTAGCAAGAGCTGCGGTATGCAGTTTGTTTACATGACACCATTATTCTGTCTTTGGTAAAAATTCTGTGTTAAAATATAGAAGATGCAGTTATATTTTCCTTCCCAGTCTGACTAGAAGGTGTTTCTACTTTTTGAATTATAAAACTTGCTTTGCTTTTCTCTTTTATACATTATACTTCTGTTACAGGTCCTGCTTTCCAGTTTTATGGTTTATTATTGAAATACGCTACTTTAAATATTTCAAGCCATTAGGAGTTTTGTGAAAGTCTTGGGCACCACATGAATTTTTAGGACACTTGCAGAAAAATAATATATTGGCTGTGCATGTGTGTACATACATGCAAATCATAGACTATACCTAATTTTGCTTCATCTCTGTATTCTTTTACTTGCATTGTTTCACAAGATCTTACTTTCATATATTATTGCACAATATCTAATAAATGTAATCTTACAATTTTGAATAATGCTACATAGGAAAAAATGCATAAAATTTTCTTAAATGCATTTCTTATAATTAATTTTTAAGGAAAAATGAGGCTAAAAAATATGCTAAATTAATCTGTATTAACCAGCATATCTTTATATTTTCCCATTTTCAATATGTTACAAACTTATTTGAGTATTTTATCCTTCATTGGTGTGTTGTTTAAAATGTTTAACTACTGCATCTAAAATTAATAGTATATTATATAATTCTAGCTCAACAGAATATTTTTGGGTAAAATATTTTTATTTTATTTTGGCTTCAAAAATCATTAAACATGAATCTCAGCAGTTCTAAAAATTCTAGAGGTTTCATATTGCTTTATAACATTTGCTTTCCATATGAGATTTCTATGGGTTTTTTTCATAAGAATTTTTAATGGAAAATTTTGTGGGAAAAGTTGAATGGCAACTGCAGCAAAACTTTGAATTTTCCCGTGTGTAGTTTGGGTTTAATGTGTACTAACTTAAACCATATATGAGACAATCAAATTATAATGTTATTTTAATGGAAATAAAATTATTGGCACAAGATCTAAGTTACCTTTTTTTGCTCCAATATCCACATATATTTTTAATTTTATGTGGGATAGGAGGCTAGGTTAGATTATTTTTACATGAAAAATACTTTGCAGAAATGTTAGATTTTATATGACTATGAAGTGGTTAAAGGAGGTTTAAATATTAATATTATCTTTGCAGATAGAGACTTTGTCCCTTGCATTGTGTTTTTTAGTTACAAATCTTTTGACACCAGACATTTCCTGACAGAAGAGGGCTAACAACAGATTAAATGTTCCTAATTATCCACCTGATCAAAAAGCTGGTATGAATTGTAAGGCCGAGCTCATCTTCTTGGACTGGCATTCATATGTGTAGTGGACAAGCAGTAAGTGATCTGGTTTACAATTGGCCAGGAGCGTCTGAAATGAAGATGATTTTTTATTAGCAGATGCTGTAGAGAAAATATTAACCAACGCAATAAAAAACAAAAGGAATTGGAGAAATACCTGTTTATTCAGGTACTCTGACAAATACTGTGAAATTCCACCAGACATAAGAACGTTTTGTTTTGTTTTTTCCTCACCCTGTTAGATAAACCTGTCAAGTTCCTTTCCTGTCTAAATTATGTTGTCCTCTCCTGCCTGTATCTTTGTTGGAGATGGTTGAAGGGGTAAAATTAAACTGTAGTGTGGATAGCTTAGCAGGTCTCTCTAGGAATTCGCTCAAGGAAGGAGGAAGTGTCCATAAGGGCTGGTCATTGCTCCTCAAGTCTAAGGCAGTTGAACTGAGCCCTGCCTTTTTTAAAGGACTGCTGGAGGTGTATTTGGTGTTTATAGCGTAACCTGTAGCTAAATTAAAACTTGTTCCAACGAGCCTTCAGGAGCGCGGTGCCCCAGCACACGCGCAGCCATGTTGTGTGCAGCCAAAGGAGCATGCCAACGTCGGAACAAACTTCACAGTTTGCTTGTGACAAAGTGAAACTTGCTTTGCTTGTGGCGCAGTGCTCTCTGTAGAGCAGACTTCAAAGAGGAGCCCAGCACAGTTTAGATTGCGTGAGACACTAATCAGGTTGTCTCCACACCTTAATTAGAAATAACTGCATACTGTTGGTGAGTGCAAGGGCTTTTTCCTTTGTGGTTTCTTATAACACATTGCCTATGTTTAAACTCTGTGTAAGATAAGGATTCAATATTTTTTCTGTTTAAACTGCATGAACAATACGGCCCACCTTGACTGGTGGTCCTTGCAGGAAACGTGCCTAACACTGCTGTTCAAAGGTAGGCAGGTATCCATCCAACTCTGCTCCAAGAAACGTAGAACAGGTGCACCAGAGAAGTCTCAAAAGCACTCGCTTCCTTCTTGATTGATTACCCACTGTAATTATCAAAAACCCCCTTTCCCAAGCTGTCAAGTGTGCCTTCCCAGGAAGGCTCAGAGCAGAACTAGTGCACCTCAGCTGTTCTGCACATTCAGCAGGGGTCCAGGCCAGCACTGGCAGAGCTCACAACAGTAGAGGCCAAGATGAAGCAGAGCCCACAGCCATCTTCTAGGATGAGGCAGGGTGAGGCTGCAGCAGGAAAAGGAGGAAGAATAAAGGAGCAGTTAGGAAAATACTGAAACCTGCTAGTCGAAAAGCAGGGGAGAGAATTTTTAATATGCTCATTTACCTTACTTCATGTTTCTGTCTGCCATAAAGATCGGCAGAAAACTGGTATTTGTCCAAACTCAGGAATAAGAGATCTGTGAGTCTGCAGGAATATGACTCTATAAGAGTGCGTGGCGGTGGTCAGTATAAGCTTTGCTAGGACAATGCTGCCACCAAAAGGCACATCCAGCTGTTACTTTGCTCCTGTAGGTTTGTATTTTAGAATGAGATGTGCTCTGCCTCAGTGTTCTGATGAGCTGCTTGTGAGTCAGCACACGTCAGCAGTGAGGCATTGCTCAGGCTGTTTTCTTGCAGGGGTCATGCATTAAAGGATCTGCTATACAAGGGACGCCTCAGAAAAACATTACACTTGCCAGTTATTTCTGAGAACACTTGTCACCTCATAGATATGTCATTTGGTACTGTGTGAAGCCAAATAGCTTCGTAAGCTCATCAGCTCTTCTTGCGGCACTGTCTTATCAAGTATGAAGTCTTGGAGTGTCTCAGCCAAATCTGAAAGGGGGCCATGCCTGAGGTACAGTCCTGCACTTGGCACACAGCAACAGAAGTTGTGAAGCAGGATTCGGGCATTTCCTGCTATGAGTTTAGACATACTAAGTTGTAGGAAACTGTGGAAGGTGTGCTGGATTCCAGGGGTTGTTGTAAAAGGACATGTGTTTGTCAAGTCCATGTTAGGATGGCTATACTTACAAAGAGAAGTTTGCCATGCACATGATGTGTGTTTTTTTCCCTCTACAGACACAAAGTTTGTATACTGAACTTGGTTTTGGTTGCGCTCCATTTTCTAAAGGCTAAAGAGAAAAGGCTGGGTTTCTGTCAGAAGAGGTGTCTTTTACTGGCTTGTACCTAGCAAGAACTAGCATCCTTCCTCTCACCAAGAAGCAGAAATCAGAAGCAGAAAAACTCCTCCTATTTTGCCACAGAGATTCCTTCTCAGCAGAGAAAACCACAACATCCAGAGATATTGGCATATAATAGCAGAGATAACCATAATATAATATCACTTTCTGGCACTGCAGTAAATCAGCCATTTACAATTTTCAGAACTTCTTGTCCTAAATGTCAGAGGAGGAAAACAGTCTGAAATGCCATTTGAATAACAAGAGTCTTGGAAATTCCTTAGTGGTCTGAGAACAAGATCTGCCAGAGTATTTTTTCCTGTTAATGAATTATGAAATTAAATATTATCTAGGGGGAGGGAGAAATAATTCCTTAAAAAATGCTATGCTTCTGCAACATTGAAATTGCTAAGGTGAAGAGCATGGAGTCACAAGAGTGTTGTTGCCTGTCACATGGGCTGCAGATTAATATGACATCCTAAGTGGTTGCTACAGCTTCAAAACTGTCATTAGGGGGAAAAAAGTGGTCTCAGAATATTTTTCGAAGTGCAGCCCAAGAAAAATAAACCTGTCTGTGTGGGAGTGGAATGCCTCAGCCTCAGACCCAAAGAAAGGCTGCTCTTCCTGAATAGCTCAGGAGTCACAGTAGGGAATTTTGCTTGAACAGTTCAGTACTAATTCCCTTAGAAGATGTTGTGGATCTCGCCAACATGAATATCACCTGAGTTCTGTAACTGATTAAATCCTCATAGTGAGTGAGTCTATGTACCATGGGCAGATTCTTGTCTCTGGGAGCCTGGTGTGCTGAAAGGACTGCCTAATTGCAGCAGAACTTTGGAAACTTGCCTGTCTGCCTCCTCCCACTGTCACCACCTGTCACCTTTCTAAGGGGATTAAGGTCCACAGCTATTCAATTCCATTCATTATCCTTTGTCAAATTCCCTTTACTTAAAAGGGAATATAGACCTTTTTTCTTAAGGGTGCTCTTTGAAGGCAGAAGTGGCATGTTTGAGTGTACTTGAGTAGCTATTACAGGAATAGAGTGAAAATGTTCTTTCTCTTCTCTCTTCTATTTTTTTTCCCCAAGCAATCTTGTATAGGCATCACAGAGTTTCTGATACTCTCTGCTTCTGACTCTTTAGGATCAAGCACTGTTGATTGAGCTATCCATCTTCACACGAAGTCATCGCTGTTAGTGGATTGAACTAGTGTGAGTAGAAATGTCCTTTACTGTTCTAGAAACTGATACAGACCAGGGAGAAATAAACCAGGAGAATATCTTCATCTAAATTAAATAGATTTTCAGTTCCCAGGAGGGTTCCACTTAACAAATCGTGAGCAGAATATAAATACATAGATATGCAAAAAAACCATCAGTTTTGGATGATGGCAGATGTTATTGCTTGAGTCTTACCGAACTCTCAGCCATCAACAATACAATCCAAACAAATACCTGAAGACAGAACTTGTGCATAAATGTTGCATCTTTAAAATATTATTTTCTGTGGGATGCGCATTTCCTCCCTTCCAAGCAAATGCTTTGGACTCTCAGTGACTGTTTGTTTTAGTTGGGAAGCTGGATCACTGCTGCTCCTAGCAGGCACCCATAGAAGGAAGAAGTGCCAGAGAAGCACTGCCCACCTGCTGGCCTCCAGGACCAGGCTGGTCACAGAATCTGAGCTTGTGTGCTGGAGCTGATCACATCCCACAGTGTGATGGACACTAAGAATATTGAAGAACTGCAGCTGGCATGGGATGAGTGAGCAGTTAGCCCATTAGGTTTTGTTAGCTGATTGCTAGGCAGAGATATGAAAGATTTATTGTAAGAATAATTAGATCTGAAAAACTTCACTGGTGTGTGAGAGAGTAGAAAAACCATTTTAATCTGCTTTGAAGCAGTTCTTACTGAAGCAAATTCTAAAGGCAAAAGCTATGTATTTGAAGACAAAAGGATATTGAACTGGCAGTCTCAGAATAACCTATTTTAAACTTTTGCTGTTTATAGTCTTAGTTTCAGATCCCAAACCCTTTATTTATTTTGGTGTTGATCCTTATCTTAAAAGGCTCTATGATATATGAGATAATAGGCTGTTTCTGTTTCAGAAGTGGTTATGAAGCGGCCATTAGCAGATAATTATAAACAATTTCTTCTTTTTTACAGCAATGTAATAAACCTGAAGATAATGGATCTCTTTCCCTGGGGACATAAGTGCTACATATAAACTTAGGAATAGTGTATCCCTAATTTATTTCTGGGGGAAACAGCACATGCCATCTTATTTAACGTCACAAAACACATAGATGTGATTGAAGTTCTTTATGCAAATGTTTTTTCCCATTGTTTTTCACCAGAGTCTGCACTACCTTTTTCATAGTGGAATTTCCTTTATTTCAGAGCTCTACATCCACCATGTTGCCGTGTGGAACAGCTCTGTCCTTTATTCGGTGTCTGGTGCGGAAGAAGAACATTGGCAGCGAAAGTCTTGAGGACACCAAGTTGTGCCGATGCTTATCAACGCTGGACCTTATAGCCCTGGGAGTCGGAAGTACCCTGGGTGCTGGTGTTTATGTCCTTGCTGGAGAAGTGGCCAAGTCTGATTCTGGACCTAGCATCATTGTTTCTTTCCTAATTGCTGCCATTGCATCTGTGATGGCAGGTCTCTGCTACGCCGAATTTGGCGCTCGTGTTCCCAAGACTGGTTCTGCATATTTGTACACTTACGTTACAGTAGGCGAACTGTGGGCTTTTATCACTGGCTGGAATCTCGTTTTATCCTATATTATAGGTAAGCTTAAGAACAAACACCGAGGCAGCAGGTAAAAGATACAGATCTAGGGCTGTTTTTCTTTTCTGTCTCTACACTTAGCTACTGTTTCTTTTTAGTCCTGCTGAGATTAAATAACCAAAGTAGTTTGACTAGGTTTTCCTTCTGAGCATCACCATTGCAAACAGGTTTTATGCAAGATATTTTTGGAACAGTGTGATGTATGAGCCACATACCTTGTAGGAAGATTGTGTCAGACAATTCTGTCATGATGCACAAGAATAAATAAAATCTATCTTCCTTCTTTGGTCAGCAAAAATAATTTAAGTAACATCAATAAGCTCTTTTTTTTTTTTTTTTTTTAATATATACAGTAAGGGTATTTACAAGGACTCCACTATAGAATCTTACAGGAAAGTCATGGTGTTTAAGTACTAACTTGCTACTATATCATTGTGCTAATTAAGAGCTGTCCTATCAGGTAATCCCATAAAATACAAAGTTGACCAGATTTGAATAAAATAAATATTTATGTGGCAGATAGCATAACAGGTATTCCAGTGATTCAGCAGAGATAACATTTTTGGATTTAAAAATTATTTCTTCCAGAGGAATATGTCCCAGACTTCCATTATATTGTGCATGAACACATCTAGCTTTAGATGTGTACCTACAAGATGGTTACTCAGATCATTACAAAACTGATGTTCTCCAGTATTGTATTAAAATGTATTTAATGAGAGGAGAGTTATACAAATAAGATTGGGAAAATTCTATTTGCCCATGCACTCTTTGCCACAGAGAGTATTAATTTTAAATACAGACTCTAGCAACATATGTCTTGCTAGTGATTTTTTTTTTGCTTTATTTACAGGTAGGCAAACTTTCCTCTATGTTCTTTCTTAAAGTGCTTTCTTATGTTACTTTTTATTGTTTAACATATGTCATAGAAATTAGAAATGGCTAGAAATAAGCTTCTTCCAGGATCAGGCATAAATGACACAGAAATAATTTCTGCAATCTTTTTGAGGCAAAAAATTGTATATTTTGGTTCTAGAAAATCTTGTTACCATTTAACAAGCAAAATTCTTAAACATTAAAATTCTTCATCAAAACAGACACCACAGGCTCTGCTTCTTTAAATACGAGTAGCAACAGGCATAGTTTTGCTTCCTTTTCTGTAGAAGTAGCTGTATCCCACTGTATGAATGTAAAACCCTAAACATGCATGTGTTTTATGAAGGTACATCAAGTGTAGCAAGAGCCTGGAGTGGCACCTTTGATGAACTTCTTGGAAAACAGATTGGTCATTTCTTCAGTGCTTACTTCAAAATGAATTACTCCGGGCTAGCAGAATATCCTGACTTCTTTGCAGTACTCCTTATATTACTTTTATCAGGTAAGAAAATATATGGCTTAATTTATTGTGGTTGTGATATTTTACACTTAAAAGTGCTAAATTGTAGGGTATTGCACTGAAAATACCTTGAGGAAGTTTAGAGCCACATGCTGTACTGGCACAATGCTCTGTGAATTAAATGTATACAACCAAACTTTCACATGTACCCTCTTCTCTTGAGACTGAGACATGAACTAATCTCTTGTCAGTAGTTTTTTCTATTAAACCCATTATACAGACCTTTGGTAACCGAAAATTACACAGTTCTCTGTGTTTTCATGGCTCTATCACCAATAAATGCTTTCAGGGTGGCCTGGAGGTTAAGCTCTGTAATTTGGTGATGTGGTCTCCTTAAATTATATATTGTGCATGTAGTGGGCATTTGTAAGGGGGTTATTCCACCTAAATTGTTCACTTATTTGGTATGTAATAATGTTCCTCTTTTTAAGTCTTCAGTTGTTTATCCTAGAGTTTGCTTGACCTAAAGGGCACCCCAAGGTACTTGTATGGACCAACAGACCAATTTGACAACTGAGTATGCCTTTCCTGTCTACTCTTCCTAGTCTTGTTTTTGTCTTCACTCATACATCATGTTTTTAAATCACAAACCCTGACACTAGCTACATGTTATTTGAGGGATCAGAAAGCTCAAAAATACTGCAACTTATTTCAATATTTGCATTTAATAATTATTTACCATATGGAAATGTTACTAGTGCCACTGGGAATGAAGGAAGCAGGAAGTGTATTCTAAAGTATGCAGTTTGTTTTCAGGCAATACTAGAAGCATTTCAATATTCAGTAGAGGTCTTACCCATATCTCATGTACTTGTCATGGTCAGTATCTCTTTGGATTAAACCAAAGCAGAACCTTTTCTCTCTGGAAAGTGAAACTAAGTTATAGATAGATAGATAGATAGATAGATAGATAGATAGATAGATAGATAGATAGATAGATATAACCTGTTCTCTTGTTCTAAGTGGATTTTTTTTTTGGCATAGGAAAACATTTCTGTTCTACCTACTGCTAGAATGAATGACCAGTGCACCTCACCTGAAGATTTATTAGGTCTCTGTACATAAAAGAATGGCTTCCTATACTTAGGAAGATCTGGGAGTTGGCTTGACTAGATTTAGTCCAGCATTCTGGCACATTTTTGGCTCCAAATTGCCTATAGGACCAGTTCAGACCCTTATGTCCTCAGGAGGGTTGGGAATTAATGTGGAACATAACTGAAGCAGACCTTTCAGTTTCACCTCTTCCAAAAAGAGACAAAAAAATAACACCCTGAAAAGCAGAGCACTGAAACTCCACAAACCAAACTACACTGTCCTAGTTTAGACACTGAGATCTTTTATGCTTTCTCCATTGCCATTGCTTCTTCAGAACATGAGAATTAGAGGTTCTTGAAAAAAGGGGAAATGTTTCCCCTGTTGCTTGTCACTGCTACTGTGTTTTCTTGTGTCCTGTCTTTTCATCCCTACCATCATTCCTTCTTCACTCCTTTCACATTTTGCTGCAAATTGCCTCTCTAGGTGTCTGATAAGAAGCCAAACCCCCAGTGACTGAATTGGGTCGAATTCCCTATTGCTGAAGGGGCAGTGGGGATGGCTCATACACAGTATGCCAAACATGAATCAGTAATTGGATTGTGAGCTGTGTAAAGCTGAGTCATAGGAGTAGCAGGTGATGTTTTACAGAAAATGTTATGTGCTAAGCACAAAGACAAGTACAGAGAAATCTGGGGTTTGGGCTTTTTTGGTGTGTTATTTTTGGGTATTGTTTGTTTAATTTTTGGGGTTTTTTGGGTTTATTTTTGTGTGGTTTTTTTTTTCTTTTGTTTGTTTGTTTTGTTTGTTTTTTTTGTTCTGTTTTGGTTTGGTTTTTTGATAAGGAAAGGACTTTAAAAATGCACAAACTAGGATTCACGCTGCATTAGGCTGATTGAGACACCGCCTTTTTGGGAAAAACTGGGCTGAAGAAAGCATACATCTATTTCAATAAAAACTACATTGGTGAAGAAAACCTGAGCAGCTCATAAGATAATTTCTGTGTTCTGATAAGATAGTAAATATCTCATTAGAAGAGTCAGAAACTTTTTATACATTATTTTGAGAGGCTTAAAATTTTCAGACTTAATCTCTAAATAATGAGGGAAAGTATGTATGTGATATTAGTGGAAATGGTTAGAGCACAAAGGACCTGTGAAAATTTTCCAGTTGTATTTAATTTTTCCTGATCTGCTCACTGCCTGTTCCATTAAACTGCTAACATTCTAACACTTAAAATTGTTAAAAATCTAATGATAAAGTAGAATCCCGATGGAATAACTTTCAGATTGTTTAAATGTTCTACTCTGTAATCTAAAGCCGTGTGTGTTTGGTATCTGACTTTTCTAGAATCTCTATGCATCAGTGTTACAAGCATGAGATGTGCATTTCTTTTAAAGCTGTTATTAATGAACTAGGAAATGGGACTTACTGTGATGGATGTGCCCTGAAAAATGTAGAGTCAATCAGTTACATTGTTAATTTAATAATTGTGCTTCTTTTCTTAATCTAACAGATAATTCTTCTGTAAGGAATATATTCTGTAAGGAATATATTCTACCAATCTATTTTTACGAAGCATAGAATTCTTGTAGCTATTTTACTCCATGGCATAAAACAGAGATATGGATTGGCATCTCAGAGAAGTAAAAAGTAGCCATTGCTAAAAATACTTCTAAATACTTAAAGAAGAAGCTTTCTCTTTTGTGGTTTCAAATATATTTGCCTATTGTTGTGCTGTTAAAAAGTCTAGTAAGTTTGTGATTTTTTTTTTTTTAATCTAGTGAGGCTTTTTCAGTATTATTCAAGGTACATGCATATATTTATATACACACACATACCTTCTTCTACATGTATCCCTTGTTTAAATGACATTTTAATAGTATAATGGGCCATTCACATCTATAAAATATTTTTTTTTTACAGGTCTTTTATCTTTTGGAGTAAAGGAGTCTGCATGGGTGAATAGGATTTTCACTGCTATTAACATCTTGGTCCTGGTCTTCGTTATTATTTCTGGTTTTGTGAAAGGTGAACCTGACAACTGGAATATAAGTGAAGAATATCTCAGAAACTTTACTGCAGTAACAGAGTAATTTTAAAAAATCTATTTACTTTCTCAAATTTCAAGCAGTTTTTTCTTACACATACTTCATTATAATAAACACTGTTAGTGTTTTAATATGTTTTGTCACAAACTTCAAAGCAAGTAAGATGATAGTTGCTTGATTCGGACATTCTTTCTTTTGCTGTTATTTTTCTCTTTCTTACAAGCTTGGACATAAAAATGCATCTCATGCAGTTTTGTAAAGCAGATCTCTGTCATGATGAGAAGCCTTAAACACTTTTCAGAGTTCTAGGGTAGGAGGATGCATGCATTTATCCTGCCAATAATGAGAGGAAAAATTTTTCTTTCTGCTGTATTTTTGTTCTTTATAGGAACCGCTCATCCTATGAAAATGTGACAAGTATGTATGGAAGTGGTGGCTTTATGCCATATGGTTTCACAGGAACATTGGCTGGTGCTGCAACCTGTTTTTATGCTTTTGTTGGATTTGACTGCATTGCAACCACTGGTATAGTATTTATATGTGTGTGTATATATGTTTAACATGGGGATATTTTTGCAAAAAAACCCCAAAGAACCACAAACAATATAATACTCTGTCTACTCTTCTTACTTTGCTTTCTTCCAAAGCTCTTTCAGCCAATGTAGAATGAGTCTAAGTTCATTCCTGAACATGGCTATCTTTCTGGGAAGAAGGAGGAGGTTCTACTTATTTCATTCCTGTTCTAAAGAAATGATTGATGCTTTCTAAGTCTGGAAAAGGCTTAGTATACAATTTTTCTGCTCAAATAATGTTTATCACCTGCTCAAATAATGTTAATCACCAGCTCACTGTTCTCTGAATAAGGCCTCATTCCCAATGGCTGATAGGGAATGAGTACATTGAAAGTGTAGGTAAATAACTCAAAATTATGGGCTTGGAATACTCTGCATATAAAATGTATCTTATGACCTTTAATTTACCACTATTTTCTGACAACAAAATACTGAGTTCTGTTCTGTGTGTCTAAGTTTATTTTACTCAGGTTTTTAAAACTTCTATTACAGATATGATTCTCATGACTTAGATTAACAAGTGATTTGTCTTTGATGTTTGATTTGATTGACATCAAGCATTTGATGTTATCTCTTAAAGCTGAAGGGGAAAATTAGTATGAATTTTTGGTGGGGCATTTTCTTTTTCTTTTTTCAGGAGAAGAGGTCAAGAATCCTCAGAAAGCCATACCCATAGGAATTGTGGTGTCCCTACTTGTCTGCTTCATGGCCTATTGCTTGGTTTCAGCTGCACTGACACTTATGATGCCATACTATCTGCTAGATGAGAAAAGTCCTCTGCCAGTAGCATTTGAATATGTTGGATGGGGTCCTGCTAAATATGTTGTAGCAGTGGGATCCCTCTGTGCTTTGTCTACAAGGTAAAGACCTTGAAATACTAATTCTATTGGGAAAAGCTGATGAATAATATAATACATTTGTATCTATGTTTGTGTGTTCATTTTGAAGGCTCGGTCCATGCAAAGAATTAACAATAAGTGTTATAAGCAAGTATTAAACTTAAGCAAGTCTACTTGACAGTAGCTGTGTTAATTTAAGCTCTTTTTTTCCTTAACTGACTGTTATTGAACCCTACGTCTTTGTAGAAGCTTATTACACCAATTTTTTTAAATATAAATATTTTCAAACATATGACCTGCAAGTTATCTTTATTAACTGACAGAGTAAACCTCCCCCATTTTTCCTTTTTCACTGTGTATTCCCTATGACTCAGAAGCTGTATGGGCTCTGTGCATTTGCAGGCAAAATTGAAGACAGTAGCTCCACTCTTCATTGTCTGTCTCTATTTTCCTCCAGCAGCCAGTCTGTCTTCTGACATTATCCCTTCCTGTGGTTTCTGTGTGTGTGTTTGAGATGTAGATTATAGCTGTGAAAATATTATACTTTATTTCCCTTTGTGAAACTGTGAATGTAACCTTAGCATATTATTTTGATTAAAAAGATCAGGGAGGAAACAATATATATTAATATGTGTTCAGATATATTACACCCCAATTGTAATATGATAATAACACTTTAATAAAATAGAAAATTGCTTGATACTTGAATTTAGGGATAGAAAAATGCTGATGCCAATATTTTGCCTGAATTTATGTAGTAAGGAGTCATTTCCATGAGCTTCAGTGGTTAAGAACACTGGCTGCCTTTCCACGAAGGAAAACAAGTTGCCTGTGGAAACACTAATACTACCAGCACTCCAACATAACCCCATTGGAGTTATGTAGGCATTAGCCTGAATATGAGTTTGTTGACCATGGGCAATGGTTTAAAGGAAAGGAACATTTAGATGCAGGAGGGGATAGAAACATGAAGTAGTTCCAGAAGGACACTGAAAGAAATGTAGGACTGACTGAAGAATGTCATAGTTACACAGTTCGTCCTGGGATTATTTATGTTATTTTCTACATATTTCTCATGGTCCCCTTAGGTTGGAGAATTTCACTGATTTTTTTCTTTACATTGATAAATAGTAGAAGTTATATATAAGAAACTAGATTAAAGAAATTAATACTGGAAAACAAAGTGAACTGAGATGGTAAGAAATTTTTAGAAATTTGAACTGTCAGTCTCTTTTTCCAGTGTATTCTGAAGAATTATATATACTCCTGTGAAGAGATTAATTTTTTAATCTGTTGACTGATGTTAGTTTAGAACAAAACAAAGGACACTGTATTTCATGCACCTCAGTTTAGAGGTACAATGAAGAAAAAACATTGGGATGAATTGCTTTTGGTTTCCTGTTACTGTGCAATGTCATAAACTTATTTTGTTGGGTAAAGATGTTTGTTAATACTGACATTATGTACACGAATGTACATAAAGAAGGGTAGGATAAATGAACCTTACAAAGCTAAAACAAAAAAAAAAAACTTCCTGGAATTTTTTGGAATGTACCTTCTTTGTGGAATCAAAACATCAAAATCAGTTCATTTGCAATAAAACTTCTCTCCTGTCTATGCTTAATACTTGTGTCCCACAAGCATTACTGGATGTACCTATCACCTATGGCATGTAAGAGCTGTGCCTTCTTTAAGTGATATAGTTGTTTTTCTAAAGTAAGAAAGGAAACCCTTCACCTGGTTAAAAACTTGTGTGTGTGTTGCAGAGGTTATACTGGCTATGATTTCATCTTTTGTTTTCTTAATTAAAAGTATTTCTCTTTGAGGGAAAGAAACCACCTAATTTAAGAAGTATGTTTAAGAGCTTCAAGTTATCAATAGTTTAAAAGCTTTATGTGTTCTAATAACATCTAAATTAATTAGCTTTACTTCTTCCAAAACAAAAGTCTTAACACAGCTTGCCTAGAGGTGCTTTAATCAAAAGAATTAATCTGCCCAAGTACACTTGTATAGTGCTTACTTCAAATAACTGTAAATCATCAGGCTTACATGGAAATATAGAGTGTAAGGGATGCTGCTTTTGCTTATTTATTTGCTGCTGCTGACTGACAGACTTTCTACAGGAATACTAAAGCTTAATTGCATAGTTACTGTGATCTGGAACATGTTCCTGGTCCATTAATACACAAGAACTATGGTGATGGGAAGAGAGTTATCTTGGTAATCTAGATTCCATCTAATGAAGTAATTTCATTACCTAAATTAATATAATTATAATAATAAATCAACTTTTCAGTTAAAAAAACCTATTTGTGTCTGATTTATAGTACCTTGGGCTATGGGGCTTTCTGGTTTTGTCTTACAATCATACATATTGTCTATACATGCCATTAATTAACATTTTTTATCTTGTCCATGAATACAACTCTGCATGAATTGTGTTTGCCATGTTGCATGTGTTTGCTTTTTACTTAGTCTTCTTGGATCCATTTTTCCAATACCACGTGTAATCTATGCTATGGCGAAGGATGGGTTGCTTTTCAAATGTCTAGCTCAAATCAATTCCAAAACGAAGACCCCACTAGTTGCTACTCTATCGTCTGGTGCAGTAGCAGGTGAGACTTAGAGTTGATCCTTGTAAAGAAAGGTGCACTGCTAAACACGTTGAATATATGGAAATAAACCACTGTTATGCAGCTTGGATTTGTTTTGGACTAAAATGATCAAATTTGCTTTTTGCTAGGTAAAGTAGTCTACCAGTAAAACTTTTCTCTATCTCAGATTTTTAGTTGTTGGTTTATCTCAAGTGCTTTCAAAGCCTAGGGTCAAAATAAACAGTAACCCAAAACCAAGAACATCAGTCGACCAAACAAAATCCTAAGAGCAGCAACACAGAGCCTAAGCAAAACTATACCTAAACCCATTAACTCCTCCAAGCTTTCTTTTTGTGTAGTTGGGTTTACCAGTAAAGCATTGTGCTTTTAATAACCTGTACTTGAACTATACATTTTTCTGTTCTAGTCTTCTCGGCTCTATGTTCCCTTTGCCCCGAATTCTGTTTGCCATGGCACGTGATGGTTTACTCTTTAGTTTTCTTGCCAAAGTGAATAAGAGGCAGGCACCAGTTTCTGCCACCTTGACAGCAGGGGTCATCTCTGGTAAGCTCTCAAAGCCCATGTTACTTAAAACTGAGATTTAAACACTCTATGCACGTGCATGGTACTTTATATTTTTGAAAAGGGCTGCTTGTTAACTTCCCTTGCATGTACAATGGGAATAAAATTACTGAGTAATCAATGGGTGAAAGAACTCCAGATCAAGTGAATCATGGTGGTGGTGATGGCGTTAATGCCACAGAATTCAATTTTTAATTTTTTTTTTTATATTTACCCCGATACAGTGAATAAGCTTGTTACTTAATCTGAGTCCCTTAGGCTGATGCGCTACTGACAGGGCTTCCTTGTCTGATGTAGACCTAATATATTTATGCCATCTGTACTGGGGGGAAAGTAACTTTTGTCACTTTTTTTTTTAATGAGATATAAGAAAATTAATTACGTACAAAGCAGGACAACTTTTGTGTCAACTACAAGGATTTTTAAAATTGTCTTCCAAAGAAAATGATAGTTGTTGTTTAGGCTTACCAAGTTGTGGTTGAGGGGCATGTGCGTGTTGGGGGCTTATGTATCTGCACATATATGTATACACATACATTACCAAAACAATAATTTGGGAACCGTTGCCAAATCCGACGGTAAATTCTTACCATTCAACTCTTTCACTCATGTTCGTATTTCTTGCTGAGGCACATACAGCTGTGCCCAGATTTCATCATCATTTTAGTGTGATGTTTAATCATCCCAGAAAACTGGAAGCTTTAGAAGTATTTAGCTCAAAGGAAAATAAATAAGTTTTTAAAGTAATTCAAATATCAAATACATGCCTTAGAACTTTCAGCAACTTTGACTAAAATTAATCTCAAATAAGAGGTTTAGGAATGAGACGCAATATTTTTATTTATAGTCAGGGTCATTCTCAGATGCCACAAGACTGGAACTGCTCAAACTATGTAAAGTTTGAGGTCAAACTGCTCAAGCTTGATGTTAATGCAGAAAGGCAGAGTCATTGTCCAGATAGCCCCACATGAAGCCTTATCAGTTCCCCTTTCTTTGTTCAGAGTACAAGTAGATTGCATAGAGTTACTTTTATTATTTCAACTTTATTATATTTGATTTTATCCTAATGACATATTCTGCTTTAAGAATTTGGAAGTTGCAGTTTTGTGGGATGAAATCAAAATCTTTCTGTGAAATCACACTAATGATGAGAAGAAAGAATAGTGTATTACCCAGCTAGTAAAGTGATTGGTATAGTTACACAGCCCTGCTGTAGCTCTGTAGAAGCAGACATTGGACTGCTTCTAGACAATCTTTAGGAATTTGGTGCGTCAACAGCTCACTGGAAAACAGCTTTATCTACTGCTGGAGAAAGAGTAATTTCTTTTCTGATTTTTTTTAAAATCCATATTTGGTAATTTGTGGTCATATATAGTTTTGACAGAATAGTTGTGGATGTATGCAACAACTTATATTATCTGACTTTTCTATGCATTTGTAGCACAAATAGTTTTACAGCTGTAAGAAATGCTAAGAAAATGAGATGCTCAATTAAAGTTATCAAGTCAAGACTACAGCTGAGGCAACCATCACATGTTATTACATGACTAATCTTTTCATGGGTGGTAATCGCCATGGCAGATCTCTCCACATAGCAAAATGTTTTGGTGTCAGTCCAGTTTCACCATAAAGGGACCTACTGTTGTCTCTTAGAGTAGAACTAAGACAGGTGGAAAAGAAATATGCTGCCTTTTTTTCTCTTAGTATAGAAGAATTACTAAGGAGAAACTTGCAGGCATTTTTCATCTTGTTTCTAAAGTTAAAGAATATCCAGGCCACAGAGTAGCCTTTTGAAGCTGGGATTAAAAATTTAATATAGCTACTGTACATGAGGTTTTAATAGGTTCTGTTCTTCCTTGGCTTTACTCTTTAGAGCATGAAAAGCAGAGAGGTATTCAAAAATCTACACTGCAGATTGCGTTTTGGATTTAGGAACATCCACTCTCATTGAAGAAAACAGGATATGTGTTTCTTAATTGGAAAAAGAGATCCCCAGATTATATAAAAATTCTGTAATCCAGCAGCCTTGTTTTCAGAAAACCACATTTTGCTTCCTCCTTTAGGATCAAATACCAGGGGAGTATTTGTCCATGTGTTTGTGCCCTTGTGCAGCTGTCTACAAATATTTTAACAAAAGCATACCATAAGTATTAAATATAGTTTGAACGTAGAATAATTTGTGTGTGCATATACACACGGTGTATAAAGACTATATTTAATATTTTCTTTTGATGTTGAGATTACTGATGATTCAAATAATCTGCATCTCAAAAATATTAATAAAATACAAATCCTTTAAGAGGCTCTTAAAGTATGTGTATGTATTTCAAATCAATTTGAATTAGGATTTCATTTACTGATAGCTTCTCCTAATTTCTTTATAAATAATGTGCTTTGTTGTGCAAACAGTATAGACAAAAAAAGATATGCCAGAATCTCCAAATGAATATGGCATTAGCTTTTACAAACAGAAGATTTCTATAATTACTTCCACTGCCATGGAAGTTTCTGCCTCTTAGTTCAGTGATCATAAGAATATGAATTCTTAAGATATGTTACTGATCATTCCTGAAGGTGAACTGAAAACTATATTTAGTCAGATAACCATTAAAAAAACCCTACAAAACTATTTTACTTGAGACAACTCCTGTAAGTCCTCTTCACACAGAGCTCTTTCCCAGCTCAGCAGAAATTTTACATCACAATGATTTTTTCTCAGTTTGGCAGTGGAATCCATCCCTTCAGGTCTGGTGAGATTCTGTTACAGGATCTGAACTTCATTCTGTAAAAATGTATTTTTAATATGGCCTAAATTCAACAATATGTGTGCAAATATTTCTATCCGAATGAGTCCGATGTAAGTGTTTGATTATGCAGCATGACTGTATGACTGACTCATCAGTGCCTATCTATATGAATGAGATTTTCAACTGTAGGGAAATAGATTTCTAATGATACCAGTAGCTTAAAATATGTGGTTTTAAGGATTGTCATGATTTCATTCCTATTGCTGTCAGTAAAACAAAAAGTTACACTGCAGACAGATTTTTAAATCTTAGCTTCATACATTTTTAATATTAATCTTGGCACTTATGGTTAGACTTGATGATCTTAAATTATTTTCCCAGTGTGAATGATGCTACAATTCTATGTCAGTCTCCTGAAATTTTTTTCCATTTATTTTCTTTTTTAGCTGTAATGGCATTTCTGTTTGACCTAAAGGCTTTAGTGGACATGATGTCTATTGGCACACTTCTTGCTTATTCACTTGTGGCAATCTGTGTTCTCATTCTTAGGTGAGTCAAAAACATCCTTTGTATTCTACTGTGGGGTTTTTTTTAGTTGGTCAATAAATAAACAGAAGTAATATTTACAATACATGTTTTTAGTTAGATAGGCAGTAGCTGTAAGCATATAAATGATTTCTAAGAAGCAGTGACTCCTCAAAGAAAACAATGGTATATTGTTACATAAGTATACCAATGAGTCGAGTTAAAGCTTCTGGTGAAATTGAGACACCTTTTATTTTCCAGAATAAGTATTGGTCCAAGCATCAGTCCCAAAGAGTACAGAATTCAGGAATGATACTTGTACATGAATACAATCTATGCTGTACATCAGGCATATTGCATTTTGGGGACTGTACGTGAAAAGAGTTGATGTTCCAGGTGGTTCACAGGATGAACAAGTTCTAATAGTTGATTTGTGTTATCCTAGTTAGAAATGTAAGACCAGACAAGTGTATTAAGATGTGGTGGCCCTAGAAGAGAGTGCAAATATGAGTGAGATTATAAATACTTCTCAGTAAAACTCTGGTATTGGTCATGTGTAAAAAGCTATGAAATTATATATTGCTAGCTACAGATCACTTTGTTATGTATTGCTCTTCTTATTTTAAAAACTCAGCCTTTATTACTTAAGGCTAAGTAATTAACTTTGAAAAGTATAACACCTTAAATTCAGCTCAAATTCATTGTTGCAATAATTTACACTTTAAAAGAGAAGCCTATTCTATTTAAAAAGAATTCACTTAACATAAGTATTTTTAAAAATACATTTAAAAGCTAACAAAGCAGATGTCAATTTTCAGGTAATGCCAGTTAGAAGCCTCTTAGAATAAAGCAAGCAAGTCAGAAACAAGATCCCTTACTCTTTCCTTGCTGCTGACTACCAGACCCTGTCCTTTCTTTCTGTATGGGACTGGTCATTTATCTGAGCTATTGCTGCATTCAGATAGCTTAAAAGAACTGCCAAAAAAAAAAAAAATCTCCAAACAAACCAATCAAAAAAGTGAGTTGCCGTAGTATTTTTATATATGACACTGACTAGTAATGCTGTTGCAATGCAGTTACAACTTGGGAAATCCTAATGTTCTACTGAAAATAATTTACTAATTTTGTACATTCCTAGATTCATATTGCTTTAAATCTAGAAGTTATGGTTATTACTCTGTTTTATACATAGATACCAACCCACCTATGAGGAACCAAAATACTCTCCAGAAAAAGCAGCTTTGGCTGCAGCTGAAAGGGAATCTGCAGTAAGTGAGTCACAGATAAGCATGATAGAAGAGAATCACTTCCGTCTTCAGGCCTTGATTAATCCATCCAGTTTACCAACTGGGCAGACTGCAACTATAGTTAACTTCTTAGTGAGCCTCTTAGGTAAGTATTTGGCTGTTCAAACTTATGTATGCATTAACATTTATATTGGAATTTTACTAAAGACAGAATTAAAAATCAACTGATAACATGCCTTCTTTCAATCATACATGTGTCATTCTGTGCTTTTATCCTTCATGAATCAATCTAACCTGTAGTAATTTTCATTTAATTAAACATGCTCATAACAACAGTACATGTTGAAGCTTACTATCACTTTTCTTAAAAGTCACTTCCTCTTCAATGCAGAGATTAAGTGACCTATTTCTGTTATTTTGTTTTTCATACAGCTTGCTTGATTTGTGGCTTGAGTGTCCTCATTACATATGGGATTCATTTCATTGCTAACTTGGAGCCCTGGAGTATTGGCCTTCTTGCTTTATTGGTGATCTCCTTCATAGTTACCATTCTCCTCATCCAAAGGCAGCCTCAGAACCAGCAAAAAGTAGCTTTTATGGTGAATATGAATAACTTATTCTCTGCATTATTCTCTGATGACAGCTTTGGATGGATTCTAATGAGTGGGAGAGAGAACTTAAAGTTGGAAGACAAGTCAGAAACTGATGAGTGTACAATCACTTGTCTCTGTAGTCTGCAGTACTTTGGACCTAAGACAGAGTATAAGTACTTTCATTTTGCACTTTAACTTATGTTCTAAGATCAGTTATTTAATGGAAATAATGAAGTATAGGATGCAGGTCAAGGAATCAGGTGGTGGTGGGGGAGCATTTCAGAATAAGAGAGATAGATATAGTATTTTTCAGCTGTAAATAGAGGAATTCATTAGTATATGTCCCGCACAAACTGGAAAGTTTTTCTATAACCATAGAGAATATATATTAAACATAATGTATTTAAAAGTTTAAGATCTATAGAAACTGTTGGTTAAACCCAGTGAAAATTTCACTACAACACCAAAAAAAATTAAATTCTTTTTAGTGATTACACTTTACCTCTAGTTTGTGTTACATACCTGAAGTGTGACATGCAAAAAAAATTATGTTTAATAGAAACATATTAACTATTTCCTTTTAGGTTCCACTATTACCATTTTTGCCATCATTGAGTATACTGGTAAATATTTACTTGATGGTACAATTAAGTGGAGACACTTGGATGAGATTTAGCTTCTGGATGTTACTTGGTATGTACTTTTGTTCATTTCAGTCAGTTCATACAGTTCATACAGAACTCATGATTCCTATCTCAGAACATTTGTTTCCTTCAAATATTTGGAAAAAATCGCTGTGAATTAATAAAAATCAGCTAATATTTCTGATAAAAAGGAAGATCATGCTTCAGAAGAAGTATTTATATTCAGTTAAAATTACAAATATAGTTTTTAGGTAATTGGAAGAATTCCAATAAGCCGTGATTTTTTTCCTAGTAAGTATAGCCAAAATTATGTAGAAACCTGCTTGTAACAGGTTTCTTCCCAGTATAGCATTCTGTCCTCTTAGATCTAGAAAATTGTATTAATTCCATCTAGACGTGAATTAGAGATAATACTTTCCATAACTTATTAGAGCATTTACTTATGCAAAAATGATGTACTGGAATTTCCTGTAGAAACTGCTTCAGGGAAGACCTGAAGCATGAACTCTGATTCAGATATCTGAAGAAGAATATTCTTTAGCAACAAATTCAACCAGAAAAAAAAATCTACTTTTTAATGCACTACTTGCCTGAAAACCTTATGAACTATGAACTTTTTTTTTTTTTTTTGCTTTTTGAAGGCTTCCTCATTTACTTTGCTTATGGCATCAGACACAGTGTTGAAGGTCATCGTGGTGATGGAGATGATGATTCTTGTTCAGAAAATAGTGGGTTGCAAGAAAAGAACCCAGTGGATGACCCTGAAAATACAAATGAAAGGGATCAATTTCTTCCACATGAAAGGACAAGTGAATGTTAAACTCTGCAATCTTTTAAACCTTCAATTGGCATTTTACTTGTAGACTGAAATTTCAAAAGCTTTCTTCCAACATGTGCCTCTTGAAAGTGTTTACTACAAGGCCTAACTGATATTTTGGACAAGCTGCTAATCCATCTTCATAATTTCTGAACTGACAGCATGGAGATTAATACTTTTTTTTTTTTTAAAGTACCCTTCGGCAAGCAAAAATTTGGAGACATTGTTTGAAGCGTCATCCAAAATCACTGGCAATCATCAGTTATGAAGAATTTTAGAACTGTCTTCAAGAAGTTCTGAGCATTTGACAATCCATTGTGAACATAAGTGCCTTTCATACCTCTCTCCCTGTTATATGTTTTGGTAACAATCTAAATTCTCTCTGTTGAAGTAACTCATAGGAGATAAATTTCATTCATATAGGCCTGGAAAGGCAAAATGAATGGTAATTTTATGGATTAGATACTTTGTAAAAAATAGAGGAGCATTTGTTTATGTAAAAAAAAAAAGTAATTGCTTATCTTTACTAATCATGACTATTAATCTGTGGTCATGGAGAAGTCAAGCAGTGAAGATACTTAAAAGGTTTTTAGTGCCTCTAAATAGCATTCAAGATTTCTACTTAAGTGCATGCCTTTTCTTTGAAGGATGCTTCTCACAAGAGAAGCTCTTTTGTTTTCTGCAAAATCATCTGGGAAATAATCTGTTGGTTACAGTATTGACATTGGCAATGAGATGTGATTTAGCAAATTTTATGCTTTTGACTTCAGAAGGGCCAGAATTTCATCTGACTAATTAATTTGGTACCTACCTCCAGCAGTCATCCAGTTTTCCTCCTTACTACTAATTTTTCTCCATATGGGGAAAATGTATAATCTCCTTTATACATGTTCCAAAATTGCTATTGCTGAGATTAGCCTTACACATTGCTTCTCCTAAGAAAAATTAATGCAGAAAATCCCAGCTTGTTTTTTCAGATGGTAGGGGAGGCTAAAAAAACAAAGGTCTGGGTTTTGAAAAAAAAACCTTATCAAAACAGTATTTCATTGCTTCATTAAGTCTTAAAATATATGTTAGCATAGCACTTCTTTGTGAGCCAAGCCTACATCCACAAATCCATTAATGTGGGTATGATGTCTAAATGCTAATTTATGTAAAGAGCTAAACTGGTATGGCAATGATGGCCTAACAATTATTTTAATGCTGGTAAAACCAGGGAATGTTCTTCTTTCAACATAAATCATGTTATCTGTGAAAGGCACACAGGTATTTTAAGCAAGGAGTAGGTTCAAGTCCTATGAAGGATTCCACAATATGAAGTCATTTGACAAGAATGTATTTACAAAAAATCCTTCCCTAGAGTAAGAACTATCTTAGACTTTGTCATGGAGAGTTGCAATCTGTTGCTGGTACTAAGCATTGGTATTAATCTCCGTTGTTAGGTATAAGAACTTTAGATGCCATGAGAGCTATGTTGGTTGACAGTGAAGAGCACCTTACTTTTTATAATAGCTAGAATTTTATTAAAAAAAAAGAAAAAAAAACTAGTTAGGCTGCTTCTGTCTCTCTCCTTTTCCAAAGCAATAAGTTGCTCTTTTTAATTTTAAAATTACTTCTTTCCCAGTATTCTTAAATCCTCAGCTTCAAAAAAGCCATTGCTGTGGGAGCAAGTCAGCTGCGCCCATGTGAAGATTTTGCGTGATGTCTTTACAAGCCTACAGTGAAACACAGCTCTTAAAATTCCTTCCATATCTCAGCATGTGGAAAGCACAGACTTTTTGCTATGGTTGTTGATGCCACAGAGCAGGCCAGCCAGGCTCCCAAGGCACAAACTTCTGCTGTTCTGTGCTGTGCAAGGAAGACTCCATCCCTGCCTGAGGCCATCCTAGAGAATGTATGTGTGCACACCTGTCCATGTATTTGAATCTGTCTGAAATCAGCCCATAGCGAATTTGATGTACTGGTTAAAATAATTTCTGTATTGCACTGGACTTTTCCTTTCAAGGGATACTGCCAGTACAATTAGCTGCTGACTAAAGCAAGTGCTAGCTAAGGCCTCTGGAGAGAACTAAAGGAAGTAAATTTTCTAGCTTATTTTCGTGATGGATATGTCAGCACTTTGTATATTGACAAATTCCCCTTTCACTTGTATGAATATTTCTCCCCACTTGTTATCAAAATTAATTATTTTAAAATAATAGGATGCGCCTGTACAAGTGTTGCAAAGACAGACTGGAGGAGCTGCAGCACCAGAACTATCCAAATAACTAATGAGATATAAAATGAAATTAAAGGAAAGGCATTGGGTACTCTTAGTTGCTTCAACTGCAGTAAGCTTATTTATATGTGTGTATAGTCATTATGAGTCAATGACTGAGTGAAAACAGTCAAGCCAGAAGTAAGATATTTATGGTGAATTTGATGTGCATTTGTATATGTAGTCTGAAAATTCCAGATGCTTTAGTAGGACTCAGCAGAAGCAAAGGACATGCCATGCTAGAACTTACACAGAAGTGATGGATGCAAGAAATCCTGATCATTTTCTTACATTTGCTGTATCTCTGCAGTTGCTGAAAGATCAGCTGAAAGCACGAGTCCATTGGAATTAAATAATCGTTATTTTCTAACACACTTGTTGGTATTGTAAAATGTTCTGTGCAAATAATAACGGTACATATTAATACAAAATGTCTACTTTTGAAGGTAGCTTATTGGATTTTTATTTCCTTTGTACAATAAAGTTCTCATAACCTTTTTTTTTTTTTTTGGTACATTCAGGATATGCCATTCCCTAGTTGGCTTCCTTCCCTAGTTGGCTTTAAGAAAGTAAACCAAAGAATATTTAACAGAGCACAAATAAATCTTTCTGTTCTGATGTATAGGAGTTATAAAACATTTCTGAATAATTCATATTAACTGAAGTGGTCTTCCTGTGGTATTCCAGTCCTCATTCTGCAATGGGATTTTTATGAGGTAACTTAGATTTCATTGTCTATTATCACGGATAAAACTATTCTGTTAATAATAGTATGCTTTTTTCTACACAACAAATGCTGGTCAGATTCCTGAAATCTGTCATATAGTGCTTATGTTGCCAAGTGTTAAAGCCATTTTTATTACCTGCTGTTGGAGAACTAGCAGCAATAAATGGCAATCATAGTGATGCAGAGTTACTTATGTACTTAAGCAGGAATTGACTTGTGTCATCCAGAAACTTTAAATGGTACAATGAATTTAGAGGCAAAACTTGGTAAAGGTTAAACATATATTCTGTATATTGTTACACAATAAATTTACAAGTCTAATCACCTTACCTCTAAAGTTTATGAAAAAAAGATATATTTAAGAAAAATAAGGTACAGTGTTTTCATAGAATTTTTAATAAGTGCCAATATCAATGTGCCATAAGCATCCTGAGGAGGTGACAGTGCAGGAAATCTGTGTGGGACTGTGCAATTGGGTATGAGGCCTTTGACACTGGGACACATTTTTTACAGTAGGAATTTAATTCACAAGAAAATGAAAGCACCTTTTTAATGCTCTTAGGCCCTAATTCCTCGTAAACATGCTGGGAAGTCTGTATGAATAGCAGTATGTTCACTGAAGGCACTGAGGTTACTCAGTGTTAAGCAAATACAAATTTTACAAAAAGAGCGGGTGATATTTCATATAGCATAGGATCTTTGTGTTTGTTTTTAATTTCCTGTACCTTTAGTATTTCTTTCTGGTATGTTTTGAGGACCTCTGCATTTTTAACAGTTGGACCTTTTCAAAGCTAAATATGATACCTTTACCCGGTTCTGATCTATTTTCCGTTTGATCTTAGAAATCAAATTCATTACATGAGCTGAGTTGAAGGATTTCTGTGCATAGACATGCAGACATGCATTACAAAGAACTGTATGTGTATATATATTTTTTTATTGTCAGTTGGACAAATTATGTTGTTTTTCTGTGTTTTCATGAGCCTTGTACGAGGTCAACTCCAGCTTCACCAAATTTAGTTGGATTCAGAGTATGAGGATTTGAATATTTAGGAGAGCTTTTTTCTTTTGTGGTACCAGAAAGTAAAGCATGAAATATGTGTTACATATCTTTAGAAACAATTATGTGTGAATAATTTTTAAAAAACGTTAGCATTCATATCTATCCTTTCTTTTTGTTTGTATGTACATTTTAGTCATTATTTCTGTATTGTATGCTGCTGAGCATTCAAAGTGTAGATAGTATGATTATGATGCAATTTAAACTGCAAATTTGTATTTCTTTGAAGTGCTCTATCAGAATGAAAAGTCTTGAATTTTTATGAATGTAAAATTGCTTGTATTTAAGAATATGGTGCTTTTTTTCCCAATTTACAACAGAATTATTACCAGTGACATTTTTAGTTACCTTAGTTTCAAATTTTAATGGAAATTACATTGTTCTTCATTTACTGTAAAACATGCTTTGTGGGATAACAATAGTGCATTTGTTCCATATTTTTAAATAAAGTTGAATATCACTTGTATGTCCTTCATACAGCAGCTGTAACTTTAACCACTACAATAGCTTTAGTTAACACTAAAATAATATAGTAACTTAAAATCATGAGTATGCCAGATATCTAATGTCATGACATTACACAAATCATAGTACATTTAAAATAAATAACATGATAACATTGTATGCACTTTATAGAGGGAACAGAGAATAACAGCCTTTGATGTGGGCATTTTGTGTTACACTGCCAAACGAGACGATGTTAGGTTTGATTTCCAGAGTGGGTGAGTAGCCCTCAGCTTCTTGCTCAACTTTCTGAAGCACCAAGCCTTGTCCTGGTATTCACCCAACCACAGAGTTGGATAAATAAACTCAGCATGTATCTAGGCAATGAATGACATTAGTCTGGACACAGAACCCAACTGACAGAGCAAGATTATCATCTGGCATCGTTTTGAAAGACATTTGATTTGTCATCTTTGTTCACAGACTTAAAAGTAGCTATGACAGTATTTTTTCTGAGGTATATTCTTTGTAAGGAATTATATAATAGTATTCAAATTATTAATAATCACCTTACTGTACATGCAGATACACTAAGACTGGTCTTGAAAATCTTGGTCCCATGAAGCAGTGGAATAGGGCCACTGATCTAAATGAGGAGAAGTCATTCTGCAAGCATGTCATCACATTTAAAATATTACTTGAAAAGATGCATTTAATCTATCAGCTTACTCATGTGGACGACTGGGGTCCTCACATGAAGGTTTATATTAGATGTTTCTGATGGCTATAAATGAAAATATCTTTCATGCATACCCATTGTGAAATAGGACGTATAAAATTAATAATGTTCTTCACTGTAGACATTGTACAAATAGGAAAAAGGAATATGTTAGTTTAAATATGTCTTAAAATTAATACAGTTTGAGTGTTATTTCCATGTACTATTACCATCTTTTCCATAATATACTAATACTTGAAGCTCAGACACCATTAGATCATTGACTGACCGTGTGTGAAAGCAAAAGGGAAATTTCACCTAGGAAGGCACGTAAGGATCGCAAACAGTAGTTTTGCACATGACAGGGAAAAAAAACCACACTCTTCATTATAAGCAGGAGTTGTGATTATTTCCACTGCAAATTTGCAGTTTGTACTATACAACTTTTCTGAGTTCTCTCTGAGATTTCATTTACCTTAAACCAAAGACTGATAACCTTTTCAGATATTCTTGGTATTCTTATTTTTTTCAAGGGGGGAAACACTTTTTAAATATCCTGTAGCAACAAGAATACTGTTTTTTAAAATTTGTTACAGGTAATGGATGACATGTTTATGGTACTGATAACAGAATGAAAAAAAGATCATGAAATTTCATCATCCAGCTCCACTCCTGGGCCCTACTGGTTTCTTTATATTAACCAGGGTGAAGTCTCAGAGCAGGGTCAGGCAAGCAAGTCTCCAAACTGCATGTGCGTGTATTTATGAGGGTGGGGGACCCTCATAAATGCATGCATGGACCTTCTAACTTTTTGTGTGGATACAGATGAAGCCCAGGCTTCCTTTAAATAATCTGTAAATACTCTACTCTCATATCTGCTGTGGCCCTGGGGCTGGGTCAGGGATGCAATTTTTATTTTTATTCACATTGGCCTGTGGTTGTGTCTGCTTCGGGGTCTGCCTTTGATCTCTGACAGCAATTATTTTGCCCCGTTCGAGTCCAACCTTGCCTTGCACCTACCTCTGTGACTCCTCCAGCCATACACGGAAACCGTACAAGGGTTTCTCCTACAAGGAAACCCTCAAATTTCAAGGAATGGCATTTTACAGCTCATTGTGAGCAGAAGCACACATGCGGCAGGCATCAAGTTTTCCACTTTCATCTCTTCGCTAGCAGCAGAGAGACGTGCGCCGTCTCAATGTGCTTCACCTGTGTCCAGAGAGAGACCGCCTCTCTCTTCCACAGTGAGGTAGCTTTCGGTGTGGCAGGCTGCTACGAGTGAAAAATGTAAAAATATTTTTGATGTAAAAATATGCTTTTGCTGTCTTAGGCCAGCGCTGCCCAGCGCCTGCGAGCAGCCCCGGGGTCACCGGCCATACCGCCCGTGCGGCTCCCGCTGCTCCGCTCTGCCCGCCCGGCTGGGCCCCAGGGCAGCCCACAGCAGCCGGACCGCGGCAGAGCCTCGTACGGCGAGCTCAGGGCAGCGGCGCCGACGAGCAGCTTCAAGAACAGCGGTCCCGGGGGTCCCCGCACACCGGGTCTGCGGCGAGGAAGGGCGGCTGGCGGCGGGAGCGGCCCGGCCCGGCCCGGCCCCTCCCCGCCGAGGCGCCCCGGGGCCGCCCCGCTGCGCCGCGCCCGGGCCGCTCCCGCCATGCGGCGCTGGGTGCTCCTCAGCCTGCTGCTGCTGCTGCTGCTGCTGCTGCAGGAAGCGCTGCCACACGGTGAGCCGCTGCCCCGGCGGGTCCCCCCGCTTTCCCTTTTCCCAGCCCGACCCGCCGGCCCGACCGTGCCGGGACGGGAGCGGGAACCATCCCGGGAGGGGGCGGCGGCGCTCCCGTTCCGCTGGGCAGAGGCGGAGGGAAGGCGGGCTGCTCGCATCGTGCGCGGCCAGCCGGTGGCCGAAGCCTTCGGGCGAAAATAATGTTTGGGCTCTGGGGAGAGGCGCTCGCAGCAGCCCCGGCTGCTCCCACCGCCCGCTCGCTTTGGGTAAAGGCTTAAAGCGCGTCCGGTGCCGTGTGGCGCCTGAGGAGGGGAATGGGCTGGGCGTGGGACAGCGGTGGACGTGGTGCTCGCATTTAAAAAACAACCAAAAAAATTTCTGTCTTTCTGCATCGTTGTTTGATTGAGAGCGTCGAACTCTACTCATAACTTGAGTAAAGTTATGAGAAAAGTTCTCATAACTTTTTTTCTCATAGCTGCTTCAGGCTGTGAGAAAGTCGTGGTGGGGAAGGGACATTGGTAACTAATTCCTGACTTACATAGACTTTAACTAGCAAAAGGGAGGCTCTTTCCCTCTTGGAAAATGTGAATGAACTTACTAATACTTACTTGGAAGAAACAACAAAAGAGTAATTCCATTGTTTTTCACCGTGGACAGGTTTGGGGGTCAAGGTCTGTGTAGCCCATGGAAGGGTTTGTAGAGAAATAGGAGGCAGGCTCTTAGGTGCGTGGTGAAAGGCAGCTACCACAAGTACTTTAGTAGCTCATAAGGAAAACATTCCTTTAAGAACAAAAAATCCTCCACCTTAAGAGCTGTTAAACATAGAATTTGTCAGAGGAGGCTGTAGAGTCTCCAGCCTCTGGGAAAGTCAGAGCTCAACTGGACATTGCTCAGAGCACCTGAACAGAGATGGGAAAGGAATTCCAGAAGCCTTTTCCAGCCTTGTTTTTCTCACAGCTACATGCAGAGGAATTGCATTGTGGATCAGAGTGGCATGGGAAAGGATTTCTTCGGAAAGATTTGGTCTGTGTGTGTACCACATCAAGAAAAGTGTTTTCTATTTGAGTAGACAATAAAAACACAGAGTAAGAAATGAGTTCCAGCTCTGCCATCCAGAAGCTTAGCAATGGGAAAAAGTAACCAGGCATATTTAATAAGGGTTTCTTGTCTAAAGCTAAATGTAGAAGTCCTAATGTAGGATTTGTAATTTCAAAATAGTCTTCCTAATTTATCTTATATTAATTTATGAACTAATGAAATATGCCCCTCCAGATTGGCCCTGTGTTTGGATGATTAACTTTTCATTTGAACTATCACAAATTATGAGATGCACCCACCTTGTTCTGTTACATTGCTTGTAATCACAAAGAATCTTTCCTCATATAGTAATCCTGCTGGTTAATTCTACTTTTTGATAATCTCACACTTAATTTATTTTTTATTTATATTTTTAATTTATTTTTTAAATTTATGGTAACCTCACACATTTCACCTCAAGGAAGAATTAACCAGTATAAATTGAGAGAGGTCTCTGATGGTACCAAGATGTAGCATGGGGGCTGCCTTGTGGAATGGGTATGTCTGGTGGACAGTGAACATGACTTCTGAGTACTTTTGGGAGACCAGGCTCACACACTGCTTCTCAGGTTCTCTAGGCTGACACATGAAGATCAGGGGCCTTCTCAAGATATAACCTGTGCAGCTGTGAGACCAGTGGAATGTGCATGTGGATATAGGTGACGTTTCAAATAAAAAGCAAATGCTTTTTAGTATTATATAACTAACACCCATTTTGAAATTGTGTGACTGACATTTGTGAGAACAAGGGGCAGACATTAAAGGATAGGGTAAGACAAATACTGTGAACCAGGAGCAAAAGTGCTTCATGATATATTTCTGTGGCATATGGATGCATAGTCTCCTACTTTGGCATGATGAGTTATTGGGGACCCCAAATGTACTGTTGCAGCTGAAATTAGTACAGTGCCTCTTAGAACCGACTTTAGGAGCTGATTAGTGGTAGAAATGAGGCATTTTCTCAATATTTTTCTAAGTCTTTATTATATTTTTATATCTAATAAGAAATGCTGTTGCACGAAAGCAGTGCAACATTAGGCAGTGCAATGTTTTTAAAACAGTGAGGGCTTAGTGCATAATTCTAGTGAGACAATGAAATATCCTAAACGTGGCATATTCATGTGCTTGCATAAATGGGCTAATTGACTTTGTTCCCTTTCTTGAAAAAGTCTTGCAGATTGAGTAAGGAAATGGAGGATTCTTGATGATGGTTTCAGTGTTCCTGGAGGGATTTGGTTGTGTGTCCTTTTTACCTTGGGTGATACTGTAGCAGTTAATTTCCTTACCTGGCATAGAAAGACTTAATTCAGTTGAGACAGGAGACAGGATTGTGAGGCGCAGAAGTGGTGCTGTCAGTAGATATCTGGGCAGACTTCCAAGAGAGTGTTGGGAAGGAGCATGGCCACAGCTTGCTTGGAAACTCACCTCTCTGAGAGGTGCAACAGAGGCAGAACCAGGTTTTCCATGTAGGAAGATAAAAGCTCGTCTGATGTGTTTCCTGAAATGCCCCTGCTGTCACCTGCAGGGAAATACAAGGACAGGCAGACAAGGCTCTCACTGAGCAGCTGGGAGCGTGGTGTAGGAGGAAAATGTTCAGACTTGCTGAACTGCAGAAACATGAAACAGAGGGAACTTGTGTGGAGAGAAAAAACTTAATCTTGAGAAAATCAAAACCAGGCTTCTGGCACTTAAAATTGAAAAGCTTTCATAGGGAAACAGTTTCTTTAACAGTTTCTTAAAGGCAGAGTCTTAGGTGTGGCAGAGCACACAGTATGGGATGAAGCATTTCCTAGGGTAAGGTTGCAGGGGCCATGTGCCTTTGAAATAATGTCAGCATCAAGATTGGCAAAAAGTAGAGGAAATGTCAAAGAGTAATTTGAACAAATTTCAGTGGGGTTTGATGGGGAAAAAAAAAAGGATGACTGAACCAAAGCTTGTGTGCTGCTACAGAGTAATCTGGAAAGTTCAACAAGGAACTGGAATGGCCAATTTGAAATGGGAATGCGTATTCAAAAGACTTATGAAGCCTGACAGTGGAACCTCCCAGTACTAGGGCACAGTAGTGTGATGGAATTCCACTAAGATGGAATATCTTACCCTAGGGTGAAGTGGCAGTATGTGTTGAAGAAAACTTCAGTGTTAAATCTGTTTCCTGGTGGGTTTTGATGGTAAAAGTCATCAGGACCAAAATACCAGCCCTGTGGAGAGGAACCAACCTGCTAACTGACCACCCAATGTGTAATAACTGCTCTGCTGAGGAAAATCAGAGGGGCAGCAAGGACTGGATAGAAAAGGAAGAATAACTTCCTCTCACATGGGCTGGGTCACCCACATTGAGATGTGGTGCAGAATGCAGTTGTTCAGATGCCACAAATAATGACTTAGAGCTGCTATTCAGAGAGCCCCTCAGAAGAGCAGCAATTCTTGACTCGCTCTGGAGAAGTACTCAAGTAATTGGATTCAGATGTTGTTGTGGAAGGGCCAGACTGTAGTTCTAATATTCTTGCTGGAATACTAAAAGACAAAGAAACCACTGATGTGTTTAATTTTGGAAGGGAGAATTACATAAGAGAAGGAGGCTCCTTAATTCACATGTGGATTAAATATAAAAACCAGAATAAAGCAGACAAAAAGAATTTGAGAAACAGCTTACAAAAGGATAAAATCACCCATAAATCCTTTTACTTCTTCTGATGTGCCAGGATGGGGCAGGGAGACATGGCTGCAGAATTTTTATGGCTGGTAGGAATGGGAGACAAGAAAGGGCATCTATAGAAAGTGAAATTTAAAGATTTATCTGTGCATACCCATGTTCACTGTGGAGGTGCTTAGAGAGGTTTTAATAGCAAATGGTGAAACGATAAGCACAGAATAAACTTAGGGTGCAGTATCCTACAAATCACTGTAAAAGCAGACTCTGAAATTGAATTTTTCTCTATGGGGAGAATCATTAGAGGACATCTCATTAACATGCCAGAAGAACCAGTGAGAGAGAAAATTAGCAACATAAACTGTTTCAGTGCCAAGATTTTATGATATACACGTGAGGTGTAAAAGAAATTTGAATTTGAAATTGGTGAAGCCTTAACCCAGGTGCATAGCTTGTCATAACTTTACAGCTGGCAATGAAGCTGGTGAAGGGTCTAGAGGGTAAGTCCTATGAGAAGTGGCTGAGGGAGCTGGGGTTGCTTAGCCTGGAGAAAATGAGGCTCAGTGATGACTTTATCACTCTCTACAACTACCTGAAAAAAAGTGGTAGCAAGGTTCTCCCAGGCAGCAAGTGATAGGACGAGAGGACAGAGCCTCAGGCTGGGCCAAGGGAGGTTTGGGTTGGACATCAGGAGAAATTTCTTCACAATAGATGTGGTTAGGCACTGGGATGAACTGCCAGTGGAGGTGATGGAATCATTGTCCCTGAAGGTGTTTAAGGAAAGACTGGATAGTGCTTAGTGCCATGGCCTAATTGACATTGTGGGTTTTGGTCAGAGGTTGGACTCGATGATCTCAGAGGTCTTTTCCAACTGAATTGATTGTGGTATCACTACCATATCACTATATCATATCATATAACCATACCTTTCCAGGGAAATGGAATATCCCAGTATTTTACAACATTTGGAGGAGGTAGAGGCACAAGCCAGATGTCTGTGTTCTGTAAACTGAACTAATGAATTGCTGAAAAGTCAGTATGGCTTTGTCATGACCTTTTGTTTTGTTTTGTTTTGTTTTTTTTTTCCTTTGAGAAGTTCTGTTTTTCAGATCTGCTGAGGTTCTCTGAGGACTTTTTGTAAGAGTGTGGCCATGGGTGAACTGGTTGATATACTTGGATTCCCAAAGGCTTTTATTAAGCCTGTTGTAAAAGATTCCTTGGGAACCAATGTGCTGTGAGAAAAGGGGAGACCTCTCATGGAACAATAACTAACAGGAAATATGGGAATTAGTCTCTTTGCCATATGGATAGAATTGTTTTTATCCAGTTGAAATTAATGGGGATCTTGTAAGACACATGCTTTTCAGCGTGTTTAAGTATTTGTTAAAAGAAAAGAAAACTGTCAGTAAAGAGTTACAGAATAATCTCTTAATTTTGAAAGACTGGGCACGGAAAATAGGACTTCAGATTACATGTTGGTGGGTGCTAAATAGCACAAACTGTTCTAATTTCATGTATGCCTTGATGGGTTTCTACTTGCGAATTTTGAACCAATAGTTCTTACTTAGGAAAGTAGGCTTGGAAGTACACTTGTTTATTTTTTAAAAAGTCAGCTCCTAATATTGCTGTCTTGAAAAGTAATGAGCTGTTTAGACAGGAAAGAAGACACTACTAATATTTACAACTAGATCTGAGCATACCTTGAACCTGGTGTACAGTCTGCTTTTGTGTTCTTGCCATCAAACAAATGTGGTGTAGCTGAACTGTTCTAAGATGCATATTCTTTACAGGAACAATTAGAGTAGGACTTGTCAGTCTAGAAAGAAAATGACTCAAAAATTCTTAAGTTTTGTGAAATTATATGTGTTGGATAAACATGGATATTTCTTTATTTAGTGTCAGATTGGCATCTGACACTAGGTGGTGTCAGTGCAAATAATTTTGGTCTTACCCACTGTAGCCTTTCTAATGTAATGCAATGAAAAAATGCTACAAATTGTTGTTTTTTAAATTTGTGCTCAAAAGGCACAGTGTTGTTTAAAAGAAATGTGTTGTACATCAGCCTGGACTTGGAGAAGTCAAAGCTGAAGTGCAAGGTGTCCAGTTGGGGATTGAGGGATCTCACAGGAGCTGTCAGTAGCAGGAATCTGGAAGTCCTGCTGTTTGAACTGGCAGCTTGTACCACGTTCAATTATGCTGAGTATGTGAGTATGCTGAGTTTTTCATTCCAGAGGGGGCTTGTTGATTGATTTGTACAATGAAATACCTCAGCATTTCTATGTGGAAAACAAGAATTAGCTGTCAGGTGCAGTTAGTGGCATTTCTGGTGTCTGGCAAAAGTAATTTTAGGTTTGTCTCACAAAAGGGCTGTGCTTCCTGATGTCAGTTAAAGTTGAAATGTTTTACTTTTAAATATTTGAGACACCTCACTTTTTCTTTCTGTTTCCTTTGTTAAGGCAACTGGGCATGCCTGTTATCTCTAGGAGGCAATGAAATCTCTTACTGTTTGTCTCTAAATAAGTTTCTGTCTTCAACTGGACTGTCAATATAAATGGCTGTTATGGAGAAGTGACACGTAAGTCACCTTCAAGTGACTGAAGTATCACTTGCATTTCAGTAATTACTGTAAATTAAGAAACCAGCATCACTATTAGGATTTTATAAATTGTCATGAAGTTCGACACTTGTGAGTTCTTCATGTGTCCCTTGTGGAAGTGTGGTGTGTGAAGAGGTCATGCAGAAGTGATGGGCACATGACATGAACGTGGAGAGCTTGTGTAGCATTGAGTGCTGCATGGCAGCGGCAGGAGGTGGAAATGACAAAAGTGGCTGCTGATAGAAGTGCTGTATTTCTTTCCCTTACCATTTGTAGAGGTTTCATAACTTGCATATTTCTCTGCTTATGTAAGTATAGATTTTCCATGTGTTCTTGAAAGCAGTATTTTTTTTTTTTTCCCCAGGAAAATGGGCCATGGCAGACTTCAAAAACTTAAGGAAATTAATTCTAAGTTTTATGCATCTTTTCTAGGAAGACCAAAACTTCAGTTATTCTCTGGGATAATAAAGATTTTTTTCCCCCAAAAGACTATATAAATTTCTTCTAATCAGTAACATTGCCTTATTTTACCAGTTATTGGACAGCCTGTGAAGAGTAAGCGTCCCAAAGAACCTGGAGAAAACAAAATTAAGCCTGTTAACAAGAAAGCAAAACCCAAGAATCCCAAAATGAAGGAGAGAGAATCTGTGGATTCCTCTTTGAAGTCCCAGTCCATACTGACACAGGTGATGGATAAAGGTCATTTCCAGAAACTAGCTGCCACCTTAAGCCTGGCTGCAGGACAAAGTGTAGAGCTGCGATGTAAGGGGAGTAATGTTACTTGGAACTATCCTTCTTATTTAGACACCTTTAAAGATTCCAGACTCAGGTAAGCTATTTTTCTTTTTTACAAGAAAAATCCAGAACTTTTTTCTCTGTGTTCAGAACCACTGGTGTGTTTGTTTGTTTACATTTTTACAGTCGCAATGTTCTATCTAGTAGTTTTTAGTGTCCACAAAGAAGGTGAGCAACTTCTAGTCATCAGCAGTTACTGCCTTGTGATGTGCACTGTTGGATAGTCTTAAAGCATGTGAGCTGTGTTTCCTTCAAATGAATCTGGAATGATGTTCACCATTGTGCTCCAGCCACAAACAGGGAGCCACGTTGGGGTTTGGTCCAAAGTAAAACTCTCAAAATGTCTGTGTAGATGTCAGGTGTTCACTACCAAGTCTGTTGCTCTGAGAGCTTAAGAATGTCTTCCAAAGGCATTCTGAGAAGTGTTTGTTTTCACCGGCTGTTTTATGGAGACTCTGAAGCACTGTGAGTGATACCCAAAGAAAGAACTGTTAGGAGTTTTTCTTGGATTATTAGATGAGAAGAGCACAGAGGTATCAGTCAAGGTGTCAGCTGCTCTTGTCCTGTTGTTCTTAAGTTACAAGTGTGTATGCTCTCTCTAAGTAGCTCAGGTTATCTGAATCTCAGTGATCTATTCACTTATTTACATGTGTGATGTTAACTTAACATCACTCCCAGCTAATTGGTTTTTCAAATACATTCTTCTTCTTTCCACTTCTCTTTCCCAAGGGGAGTTTTGATGAATGGCAGTTACCCACTGTGATCTCTAGCACATCCTGCTGTAATTCACGAGCCAGTTCTCTGTGCCATTATTTGCTTGTCCCTTGCTGGCTAAGGTGCTCAAGAGCTACCCTGAGTGCAAAGCTTCTGCCACAGTAAGTTACAGCAGCGAGCTGGTTCCTGCTGTGGGCTTATCACAGCAGTATCTGTCAAAAGATCTTGTGGCTTCTTTAACCTGCTGCTGCTTATTCTTTTGCAAGGAATGCTGTTCTATCCAGGTTTCTTTCAGCAGGTGGCGTTTATTAGCTGCAGTACAGACCTGGCCTCCCAGGAAGCCAGAGCTGAATGAGCAAACCAACAGGGAGAGTGTCTTTATGTGGTGGTGGTGGTGGTCGTTCTCGAGTCTATCTTAATGTTTTGTGCATTTGCAAATAGGTTGCTGGCATGGTTTGGTCCTGTAGAGTGTCAGAATGTGGCATTGAAGAGGGCAGGGCAAGCATTCAGGGTTTTTGGAGAGGAGTTTGAATACCTCTTAACTGGTTGTTTGACATCTATTCCTCTCATGCAAAATTAGGTGTTCTCTGATGATGCATGTGGGACAAAATAAAGGAAATTGAGATAGTTTGGGGAAACCGAAAAAAAGATATGTATGTCATAATTGTGTGATTTTCTGTTTCACAGTTTGAAGTAGTTTGGGATCCTGTTGCCTCAGCAATTTACATTTCTGTACTCAGTCAAGTTAACAGTAGTAATTTAACCACACAACAAAAAGTTACGCCACACAAAATAAGTGCTATAAAACATTTTGACTGGCTAGATGTAACTTGCCTAAGTATTTATTTTCTTTCAGATGTATGTAAGGCATATACTTAAGGGTCTGTATTGAAATATAATGGTCACTGCTTTTGAAATTAGTTGTTAAAGCAGTAAGGCTGTGTTTGACTAAATCATCAGTTTTGAATACAAGCGGAAGATCCTCAAATTAACTAGAGAAATTGAAAACATAGATTGGAAGCAGATTTCAGTCACAGATTAGTAATAATTTACAGAGACATTGACCACAGAATCCTGTGCAGTCACATTTTCATCGTGTTTTTAGCATGGCTTTGGTAATTAATCTCAAGGTCTTTGCTGTAGTGCTAATAGGTGCCTATGAAACAAAGTCTGCTCTATAGAATGTGAAATTAGAAATTTGTGCTCTGTGGTTTCAGAAAGGTTTGATGGAGTTTAACTGGAAGTACCATAGAGGTTCCATGTTACTTAGCTCAGCTGGCAGCGTTTGTAAGTGAGCTAGCACCAGAAAAGTCAGCAAAGCTATGATCTTTCAAGAGGTGCTTAGATCTTCCTCATGGCATATGCAAGACCATGCACCAAGCATCAACTGCAATAGGCAATTAAAAATTTTTTGTTAATACATTACCTTCATTATTTTAAAACAAAATGACGAATGTAGGGCAGAGGGAGGAGATTCAGAAAAATTATTATCAAATAATAGCCTACAGCAGAAATTGTTTAATCATCTATGTAGATGTATGTCCAGTATCTTCTAACCTTTTTTGAGTTCTTAAAGACCAAGAGTAAGATAAGCCCCTCATGACCAGTTAGTGAGGTGTGGGGTAAAACCCAAGGTAATAACTGGGCTGGGTCTTTTTTACCTTAGATTTCCATGTGGGTCTTGCTGGAGCTGGGGCACTGGTGCAAACCAGAATTGATGGCAGCAACAGGGGCATGTGATGGGACCAAGAGGTGGGGTAATGGAAAATGAAGAAGGGGTGGGTTGGTATGCCAGAGGAAAAGTGAAAAGGAGGAGAGACACTGGTGATGAGATCCCTGCAGTTGCTGGGGATTAATGACTACAATTCTTCTGTTCACAGCAACAGATGTTCAGGCATCCAGTTCTTACTTTTCCCTTAAATGATAGAATCTGCAAATTCAACTACTCTGGCATTTTGGCTTGCAACTAGTTAAATTTAGCATCAATGTCATGTATTTTCATGGGTGGTTGCAAAAAGAAGCAGGCATAAAAGCCAGATGTTTTGCCTCCATGCTATGCGTACTGTATTTTTAACTCACCCATATGGTAAGGAGAATGCGGTAACCTGAGGGACAATATGCCTTTTCTAAAGAGGAAGATTTAAATTAGGAAGCCATTCTGTAGTATTTGTGGCTATGATTTCATTGAATTTGTCCTTGTAGTTGTACACTACACCCTGGTAAATAAAATATTTTACTTGCTGTGCTAGAGTCTTGGTTTTTAATAGGTCTGGAGCTGTTACGTGTGTTAAAATTATCATATCTGAGGGAGTGAGAGATGCCAAGTGAAAGGAGGAGGAGGACTCTTTGCTTCTTGCTGAGATGGAGCAGAAATTCTGCCTTTCCTCTGCTCTAACTGGAGTACACAACAGTACACACTGAAAAAATTTACTTTGCTTTAGAGACTGTAGTGTGCTATACACTGCAAATATGGTTCCCAGCTTATGGACACACACAAGCTTACTTCAGAACTAGCCTGTTGTCAGCAATGCTCTCTTGCTTTGTGCAGCACTTAAATACTTTTTGTCGGAAAATTTTGTTCTCTGGCTAACTGGCCAAAAACATTGGTGGCGTTAACAGTCAGAGGTTGCTTTTGCACCCCAAGTATGGAAGGGCTGGAATGCTGTTTTGTAAGACTGTGAACAACAAATTAATGACTGGAGGCTCACCCAGAAACTGGATCTACAGCATAAGAGAGGGATGAAAATAAAAATAAGGGCAGGTGTATTTTCCCTTTACCAAGGCTTTATAGAAGAAAGCTGCTCTGACTTCACACAGTCTCTGTGCTGCCTGGCTGGGTCATGGGTCTCCCCTGCTGAAGACCAGCTGCATTTGACTTCATCTGATAAGTAAACTGACATGAAATGGGGCTGCTCTGATGGAAGAAGCTGGGGAAAACAGCTGGACCTGCATCACATGTACATTCATGTGAGAGGAGGGTGTCTGGACAGGAGCACTCTCAAATATTGGGGAAACTGGGTGTGTTGGGGGCCAGAACCAAACTGAAATTAGACTGCTTTCACTGAATGCAGTGAATGCATCCCACAGGCTTAGTGGGATGTCAGTTGTGCTCATGTGTGTAACTGAATTTGATTTTGCTGCTTGTGCTTTGAAGTTTGAAAGCTAAGGATTTTTTTTCTTGTGTAAAACAGTGAGATGTTATGTTCCTGTCCTAGTGAATGTGTATTTGAGTTTAGCTCTCTTTTGTCAGTATGAATGCAGCTGCTTGAGAGGAGTTTGGTAGATGCTCTATGTACATTGTCTTAATATATATATATTTATATAAATATATATTTTAGCTTTAAATGTGGCATAGTTTTCTGGTAAAAATCTTCTGAACTTTAAATAAAGTTTAATAAGATGAATGTATGGAATAAGATTTTGGGCTGAGTTTTGAGTTTCTTTAACCAGTCTGGTAATGTTTGTATATACAACATTTTTACTTTATGGCATCTACAATACAACTAAGTTTTGGCTTCTGGGTGAGATTTTCCAGCATCTAAAATACTAATGAAACACTAATGAAATTATAAGTTACCCTGGAAATATTGGTTAGCTGCAGGATTTACCATTTATCCGTTATTTTATATGGCTGGCTCTGTCTGCTTAATATGGTCATGTCTCAAGTTTCAACACTTACACTCTCAGATGCCAGGCTTTGTTATTGCATGTTTGTGGATGACTATCTTGCTAGGTTATTACTGAATAGCTTGTTCACAGTTAAGGAGAACACACTGTACAATAATTAATTAACTTTGACCTTATTTTGCTATCTGTTGGGATTTCAAGCTATAGCTCAGTGTCTGCATTAATGATTGGAGGCAAAATAGTTCTGGCATAATGATTTTTCTGCATTGTAGACATTTAGTACTTGATCCTTGCAAAACATTTTATTCTGAGGTAGTCATATAGCCTGTGAAATGTGAACTGTGAAACTAAATATTAATAATACAGACTGGGGCATGTTTTGGTTTTATCTTTTCTTCCTTTTGGAAGAACACATGTGTGATACACAGCATGTTCTCTTGCACAGATAGAAATCTCTCAAAAGTTACCCAAAAACTGAAGATAGTTTACAATATAAGGTAGTATATACATTAAAAATGGAAAGGCTTCTGCACCATAATTAAGGATTCTAAAACATGGAGTCAGACAAGGTTGTGTAGGACAAGTGCATTAGTTGATAGGAATTGTGATTTGCCTGCTTATTGAGGCAGGCCTCAAAATTGCCCTGTGGTGGATCCATGTGTGTCTGTGTGGATGTGGATCTAAAGATGTCTGAGGGCTTACTGGAGAAGGCAGTTCTGTTATCTCTTTCTGAGGTGTGTATTTTGTGTGCTTTTAATCTCGAAGCTGTGGGTCTGGCTGAAGGCTGGGTATTGGGTTATATGAACTGCTGCTTGATTGCTGGCAGTTGTGCAGACTGCTAGCAGAGCACCCGGGGAGTCAGCTTCTGGGAAGCACATGCAGCTGAAGTGCTGGCCTTTGTTTAAACAGTTATTCTGCCTGCAATGGACAGTTAAGCAAAACTCTTGAAAAAGGATAAAAATTTCTTCAAATATGCTAATCCTGGAAAGAAATTGTTCAGTCGGGTGTGTGCCTTACAGAGTAACTGCCACATTAGTAAAAATTAAGAAGATAATAAATATTCAAAAAATCCATTGTTGAATGAGTATGAGAGCTGTTCAGACTTCATACAATCTGTGTATTTGTCCAAATCCCTTTTCAAACAGTAAAAAGAAATTCATTATCAAATAGCTAAACTTGGAAAAATCATTCCTGACTTGACTTGTAACTCAGTGTCTTGCAAAGGAAAGAGGGAACCCTTCATGACCTAGATCCACTACCATGAGAGGCAGCTGGTTGAAAAGAACATCGTTAAGCACTGGAGCAGCAGCAGAGTCACATGGCTGTGCTGACAGGATTCCTTGAGAACTGATACTTTTGGGCCATTGCTTTTACAGTCCATCAAAAGTCAACCCAGTAGACTGCCAACCACACCACCATCTGTCTGCCAAAAAAGCCAGGAAGATAAACCTTAAAATATATAAAAAAAGAACAAGATGAGACTGTAGCTGCCGTATTTCATAAGACAGGACCTTTGCCTCTTAGAATAATTGTCAGTATCTGTGTATATGTCTACATATTTATAAATACTTGCACATTTACAAATGTCAATCCACTGAGAGATATGCCTGGGAAATTCAGGAGAAGGAAAAAATAAAAGCACATCAAGTCTTAAATAATCACACAGACTGAATTTTGTGTAGTTACATGATGGCACTGCCAGTACACCTCCAGTAGTTCTCAGGGTCGTGCTCTAAAATAGCCAAGGAATGTGGAAGAAACTCATGAGGTGACTTAGACCACAGGAGTAGGTGATGCAAAATTACTTAATTTGCAGGACAAATGCAAGCTGAGGCAGCAGCTCTTTGCAAGTGGAGACTTGGACTGGTATGTTAAAAATTGGTAAAGCATTCACACTGAAAGCAGGCAGAAATTACTAAACAAACTCTCAGTAGAATACCTGCTACTAACTCCTTGTCAGTCAATTATCTTGTTAGCTTTTATTGAAGCAGTGTTACAGTATTGAAAAAGGACTGAGGTGCCTGTGGGTTGACTTGTAGAATGAGGGAAATGGCTGTATGTGGACAAACTAGGACAAAACATAGATGAACATACGGCCTAGAACAGTCACAGCCCAATTTCAAAATGAAGACTTGAAGGAATCCAAAAATTAGCTGTACGAGACAAAAGCTTGCAAGCTCTTTTATGTAGTTAAAATCAATAAAACTACTCATGTAGACAGTCTCTGCTGGAGCAAAAGGGGAAGTTGCAACAGAGGTCTGAAAGTAAAAAGTGGTCAGTTGCAGAGAAGGAATAAAAAAATCAGAAGTGGAAATGAGTTGACAGAAATATACAAAGAAATACATCTGTGCTTGTCTTTGCCTCTTGTTTTTATTTGTCCACAGCATAAAGCAACTTGACAGATATAGTCAGCTGATCCTTGCAAACTCCACTGCAGCAGACACAGGTGAATACAGCTGCTGGCTTCAGCTGTGCAGTGGTAACAAATGCAGGAAGGATGAGACAAAAACAGGGTCAACATACATCTTTTTTGCAGGTAATTAACTCACTGGGGGATTATTAATGGAAATATATTTGCTGGTAAGACAGGAAAAAAGCTAAATCAGTGATTTCACTGTCAAGATTTTACTGCCACAGTTTTCATCTATTTTTAGTGGATGTTAAGAAAGACTGTGCTGATGGGCAGAAAATTATTTGCTTAGTGTGATTATGCAGAATATCCAAAGTAATGGATAATGTAGTGAAAAGCACACACCTTACACTTTCTAAGGATTTTCTACAAAACAAATAGAAAATGTTTTAGTTCTTAAAAACGTGCCTTCAAAAAGAAAATAAATCTATGCAGAATATTCATTTTGTCATGGCATTCACATGACCCCAGGGATTCTCCCCCACTGCCACTTTATTCCAGTTGCTTGCACTGCCTTAAAAAACTCTTAAAAGGCCACAGTTTCTCTGAGGAGTCATTATAGCATGTTGAGAGGCAAAACTCTATTCAAGTGCATGTGGTATCCCCCAGAGCCTGTGCAAAGTTAACTGCTGCTTGGTACAACAGAGCTGAAATCAAGTAGTTTATTTTTTATTCTGGAAACCATTCTGAATAGTAAAACAATCTTTGATGCCTCATTAGAGCTTAAGTATTCATGACTAGAAAATGTTAAGATGGGAGTGTTTGCAATACCTTTTGGAGTTAAATTGGATCATGAGAAAGAAGAGCTTAATGTTTTTAGGATACATTCCTTAGAAAGGCTGGAATAAACTTTTCAGTCAAATTATTATGTAAATGCTTGTGCTAGAAAGAGGAATTTCAGATTTAGATTTCCAAGAAGAATGCCAATTATGGAAATACTCCTTAACTATGATTCTGAGGGCACTAAATATTCTTCTACTTAGGACAGTAAATCAAATATTTTGACTAAAAGCATAGATACAAAAAGTCTGCAGCTTCAAAGAGTATCTTTTTCTAGTAGTCCTTGTCTTACCAGTGGTGAGGGCATCCAGATAACTATTTTAAAACTTACTAAAAGACATTCCAAAGATTTTCTAAAAATACTTCATTATTTACTTTCAATTTATTGTTTTTTAATGCAAGCAATGTTCTTTTTTCTTTTGTGCATGCATATTAAAATTAAGCCAAAGTTTTTTGTTTTAAATGTTGCTCACAGCTATTTTCTTTTGTCCAATGTACTTTTCTTCCTGTTAAACCAAGATGTAATTATTTCTGTAATTATGTCAACTCTTCTGCACAGACAAAGAGGAGCTTTTTGTACCTACTCCCAGTTATTTTGAGATTGTCTACCTGAACCCAGATAAACCTGCAGTCATCCCATGCCGTGTTACTACTCCTTCAGCAAAAGTGACTCTTCACAGGGAATTTCCAGCAGGAGAAATTGAAACAGATGGAACTGATATTATTTATGATGCAAAGAAGGGTTTTGTCTTCCAGCACCCTACTTTTGATCATAAAGGTATTGTCTACTGCAAAGCAGAGTCCCAGGGAGCACCTCAGATTTCCATCAAATATCACCTACTATATGTGGAAGGTAAAGTGCAGTTTTCTCTATGCTTAAAATGACTCTTCTGCTGACACTAAGAAAATAATTTTTAGAAAGTAAAAGAAGTAGTGTAAGAGAGTTTTAAAATCTTGATCAAAAATATATGTGATAAAACATTTATCAGGTTTAAATTCTAGCAAGTTTCCTAATTTGGAGGGGAAAGTTGCAGGTGTAAAACACCTGTTGTATTAAGCAAACTGGGTCAAAAATTGACTCTCAATTTTATCAGTGTGTTTAACTTTAGCAGCTAATTTTCTGTTTCAAACACTGTCTCAGTTCCCAAGGGCCCACCCTCAACCACAGTGGCAGTGTCACCCAGTAGAGTGGGCCTCAGTGACAGAGTTCGTGTCGTCTGCACCGTCCTCGGGGAGCCAGATGTGGATGTGAAGTTCAGGTGGCAGTATCCAGGGCAAGAGGTAAGAGGGGCATGCCCTGCCTGGAACGGTTTGTTCTTCACAAAGGCAGCATTCTGAATGCTCTTGCCAGTTCAGGCATGCTGGCAGGAGGAGGCAGCATATCCCCTTTCAACTTCAGCCTGTCTTTCCCTGGGAATCTCCCTGAGAAGTCACACAGGGATGAAGCTGGAGAGTCCTGTTAGTAAAAATCAAATTGAGCAAAGCTCACTCCTCCTTCAGATTTCCATTCCAGAGATACTTGGCCTTTGTCAGCATTTCCAAAGAAAGCCTCAGACAGTGTCAAAGCCAACCAGCATAAGGAGGCTGTTCTAGGGCAAGCCACAAAGCCCACTGATGCCTCTGCATTTGATAGCCCTTCTTTCTCCATGGCTTCGGTGCATGAATTATCCCAGCACAGAATTTTTAACCTTGCTCATATCCTGAAGCAGAACCTGCTTCTGCCCAGCCTCATCTGAAAGAATCCACAGGAAACACAATGTGAATCTGTGGTCTCTTTTCTTGCACAAAATAAGATGTATCTGATCAGCAACACTGAAGGTCCTCTCTATTTTCCTTCTAACCACCCTCATGTGTTGCAGGAGGAGTTCATTTCTTAATCATTCTAGATCCAGATTGGCTTTCCAAAACCGTATCTCATTAGTGTCCATCCTAGTTTTGCATCTTTTCCACGCTGCCCCCTGTTATTGGCCCAGCTGCTCCCAGTGGTTTTACTGCACCTGATGGATGCTGGCATGTGCATGTTTACACCTCTCTAGCACTGATGGAATGTAAACAGCTAAAGCATGCAGGTTATCTCCCTTGTTTGCTATGAACACTAGAGCTGCAGTGCAGGGCACATGGTGTATCAACAGAGGATTACACCCTCTCACTGCACCCACCTGCAGGGGTGAGAGAGGCTTTGGCCTGTGGCCTGCCCCTGTGCTTATCCACTAGGGTAAACTGTCTCAGCTCCAGCTGTGCCTGGGGGTAGGGAGGGGAGAGTTATGTTTGGGTTTCTGCCCCAACAAAAGGATCAAGTAAATGTCAGAGCTGAAGCACTGCATGCTTGTTCGAGACTTAACATTTATTAAGAATGTTCACATACTGCAAGGCAAAAAGGTGGGGTGGAAGGAGAAGAGATAGGACCATCAGTGTTGCTGGTCATATAGACCTGTTATGCAAGAAAAAGGACTGACATTGTTCTAAGATTCACTTGATGTTTCCATTCATGCTGCTGCTTTCAGTGCTGGGAGCTCAGTGATGGTTTTGTCCCAGCCCACACCACCCAGCAGCTGGGCTCTCACCTACTGCCCAAGTCCTGAGCAGAAGCAGCACATCAATCCCTGCATGTCCCTAGGTTTGGTGTATTGTGGAGACCCTCATTTTATCTCTGTAGTTACTAACCTCTCCCTCTGCTTTTTTTCCACTCAAGTTGTTTTTTTTTTCTTCTTTCCACTTGCCACTCCCTGAGAATTGCATTTGCTCATTCACCTGCTGTGAATGCATACAGATCCACCCTTAATCTGATTATGGGCAACAGGCTTCAAAGCAGGCACAATGGTTAGTTTGAGGAAAAGTGGACTAGCAAGAGCCTAACCAGGCAAACAGGGTCCACCTTGCACAGCCTTTACCTTCACTTTCAGTGGGATCAAGGAAGTTCCACTTGCTACATTTAATAACTTGTAGGTAGCACTTAATTTTCAGGCTTGGAACAGGAGGTAGTGCTTTGGTAAGTGGCTTAATTACTTTTAAAGGTTTAAGAATTTCTATTACATTTATAACTGCCAAGATTTTTTTTTTCTAAAGTTGGTAATGCCTACCACTTCCTAGGCATTCCCTGACTGCACTGTGACTCGTCTCTAAGTTTTAGGAAGACTGGGAGCTGCCTTTGTACTGGTCATTTTGCGAGTGAGATTGTAGCTCTGGCTCTGCCTAAGTGTCTAACATTGCTACATTTAGCTTAAGCCTTGTAGCATTCATATTAGTAAATGATTAATCCATCTGTATAATGAGGCAAGGGTAGATGGTTTCCACACAGAAACCTCTCCCTTGAATTTCTGTCCCAGCTATTGGTATAGCAGAAGCCAGTGTGCTGACTAGCAGCTGCTGGATTTTGGAAGAAAATAGACTGCCTTAGTCTATCACTGGGCCAGTTTATCTTATCCAGTATTTTGTGACCTCCTGAGGTGCCAGGCAGTGTCACCTCATAACCACTCCATTAGAGAATTCCCTTTTAGAATCTAAAATTAAAAAAGCTTTTTATTTAATAACAAAAAAAAACCCAAAAAAACCAAAACAACAAAAAACACCCCACGAAAAAAAAATTTTTTTAATATAAACATGGGGGGTTGTAATTTTGGCTTTGAAGTTACATACACATTTTTAGAAAGCAGAATGTGAAGATTAACTCGGAAGTATTTGAGAATTGTTACTGTTTGTTTTTATGTTATCTGATGTAGTGTTTTCTAAAAGTAGAGGAGGAATTAGTTTTCAACATAGGTATTTGCTGTGCTGAAAGAGAGTGAAAGCTCAGTCAGCTACCTCATGCTACCGCTGCCTTCTTTTTGAGAAATGCTTCAAGCCTGAAAATGAGCTCACACATCTGTCTTGATACCTCCCCCAGGACACCTCACCTGTTTGATCAGGTACCCAAATGCAAGTTTAGTAAGTGGACTAAAACTGAGCTCAGGCACAGGCTCCAGGCCGAGCTTTGGCAAGCCCAGTACCTGTGCTTGGAGTGGAAGAGCTGTTGCATTATCTTTATTTGGCATAGCGTATTGGTACATCAATATTTAGTGCAGCAATGTTGCTGCCACTGCCAGACACCTTCAGTTCCCTCACTCAGGGCTGACTTTTGGATATAGGCTTGTACTCTCCAGCCTCTTGCTTCAAGGTGATGGGGTGGTGTCACTAAATACACTTTGTGGAATCATCTGTTTTATGTGGGTGGGTTGTTTATGTTTTGTTAACAGTCCGAGAGGCCTGTGATTATTCAAAATTTCTGGAGATTGATAAACAGAGGAATTGGCCATACTACAAGAATCTCAAAGAGTGTTCTTCTTGTGGAGGATTTTGAAGACACAGATGTGGGAAACTATGTTTGTATAGCTCAGAACTTACAAGGAGAAACAACAGTAGCTACCAAAGTTGAACTGAAGTGATAGAAAAGACTTCTGGTCGTGGACTGTCCTGTATGTTATTTGACATTATAGCCATTAATATTCTTTAATGATGTTTAAATGTAGCTTCTCTCTCACTGTTTCTTTTATATGTCAATGCATTTTATATTGACTAGCTCAACATGCCACAACAGAGTTCACTCTGTCCAGCAGTAGTGAGTTGTGAGTTAATGAAACTACTATGAAGCATTAAAGTGTAAGTCTGAACATGCATAGGGTGTGTGCATATTTAGAAACAGGTGCTCTCTGGGCTTTCCTTTGCATATGGACTTTCCCTCAGACTCTTGTATAAGGTCAACCTGCTGTGTGTAACGTGCAGTTTTAACATTAAGAGTACTGTATGTGTTTAAAACAACAACAAAAAAGCAAACTAAAAAGCCTTGTAACAAAGTTAGCCAATAGCAGTTGTTTATTTTGCAAGAATAATTAAAATTCTGAACATCATGAAGACATAAATGTGTGTGTGCTCATTTTCATACGTGTGTAAAGACTAACATAAAATTTTCTTCATGGTGAAGATTAATACCCTCTAGGACCTTAATATATATTTAATATGTCCAGAGACTTGTAAGCAGTTGGGTATGCTGGATTTTCCTTATGGTGTTACATTCTTACATCCTTACAATATGTAGCTTACTTAACAGTTCACTCCTCTTTAGATGTCTGGTGTTATGTTTAGTAAATTATGTAGCAAATTGTGGTTGCTAAAGGCAAAACTTAACATTTATTTATATATTAACATTTACAGAACAAAAAAGAAAAAAGCAAACATGAGAATAATGTTCAGTTTTACAGCAGAATTTCTTCTCAGGTTAATAACAAGTTCAACTTCATTGTATTAATTTACACGGAGAAAAGGAAACTTTTTATTTACACGGAACTATACCTGAATAAATAAGACACTGCTTCTCTCACCCTGGGTTCAGTTGCAAGTACAAAGAACTTGTCAGAGGAGAAGGTAAGAACTTGATAACAACATTGTTGGACATTTTGGCAATGTTTTGGTTTCTTTTCTTAGTCTCAAGCACCAACTTTATGTAAGCTAGAACTTTAAATACAAATCTACTCCTTAGTAGTGAAATGACAAAAAAAAAAGTCATGCAAGCCATTTTATTTACAAGGCAGGTGAAAACCAGCTTATTCTGAACACACAAGGAAGCAAATCAGGAACTGGTCCCTTGGTCACACACTTCCCTCTGTTTCAGCCTGCATTTGACTGGAATTCCTAAACTTCCTTCTGCTGAAGGCCTGAGTTAGCCCTGTGCTCCAGCTAATTCAGACCTTTGAGCAGATGTGTACAGCACTGTTTTGAATAGTGACAGCTCTAAGTGCTAATGTAAAAATGGCAGCTTCCCAATGAAGTCAATGATCTGATCAGTAGTGTAGCTAATGGAAACATTAAACAAGCTTGCTGATTGCTTTTTCTTCAGCATGGAGGAACCTAAACCAATTCAACTGATAAGAGAAATACCCATGGTAAAGACTGAAATGGTTCCATGCAGGTCTCATGTAATAGGCTACATGGAGAACATCCCCCAGGAACTTTTTTCATCTCTGGCCTCTGAAAATAAGAAACCTAAAAAAAAATTTAAAACACTATGCAGTAGAACTAACTTTGAAGGTGTAAGAGGCAAGGTTAATTTGTTAAAATGTATCAAGAACATTACACTGTCATCCAAAGCACTAAGTAGATTATACAATTTCATAGTAATACCTAAAAAAAGGTCTGGTCTTTGGACCATTTTTTTAGGGAAAATTGTCCTTGTATCATGTGTTTTTTTTATTTGTACCAAATTTGCTTTAACAATCCTTGAGCTTCTAGATGAGGCTGTGCAATGTGATAATTCCTTTTAAGTATTTTCATTCCTCAGAACAATGTCTTTCTCTTTGAACTAAAGGAGTTGTGCCAGCTTTTTGAATTTCAAAGTGCATTTGAGCCTGTAATTCAACAATTGATTTCCTTCTCAAAGTATCTGGGAAGTGGGAGATCATGTCACCTACCCACCCTTGTTCAACAGCACAGTGGAGGCATCACTTCCTTGATGACAGTGTGGCAGGAGAGGAAAAGATGGTCTAAATTCATTGCTTGAGTATTCCCCTGGGGTGTAATGGTTATGCATAACCATCACTTGCAGGTCTCAAGACTGATAGAGAAGCAGTGCCTCTGAGGGAGAGTTTTAGTGGGTGTCACATCCTGTCCATCCTTTCTGTCCTTGTCCTCCCACCAAGCATCAAAATAATTCTTGTAATTGAAAATTATGAGAATTCTTTTACTGTGTATTTTACACAGTTTTTATTTTAGCAAAAGCCACTTGGGAAGAGCTGATGCTACACTGATGCAGTTAATTGCACATTTCCACCTAAATGAACAGTGGTAGGGTAAGAGAATGAAGCCCGGGAAATGAAATTTAAGTGACTTGTCAAAGTTACATGCCTAAAGCTGCCAGTGCTGTTATTTCCATTTCCATACCTGTGTCACTGCTCTTCTTCTAAGGCAAGGCAGCAGCAGTGGTCAGAAGGTATTTTTTTCCTCAGGGTTCAGTGGTTATCCCAACTTTATGATGACCTTTTTAGCTGCAGCTCAGCCCTGAATAATTTCCTGGCTGTTGGACAAGATCAGTGGTTGGTTACTGTCTAGAAGGAATTTCATGCATGAATTGCATGATACCAGCTTACATGGAAGTGTCTTTGGTGTTAGTAATGAGAAACATCATGAGAAACATCAAGTCTTTAGTTAGCTCAAGGAAATGATTCACCTCAAATTTTATAAAAAATACAGTGCAACTCATACAACAACCTTTACAGAAAAGCATTGAAGGTGAGCCATACTATGAATAGTCTGAATGGCAACCAGCTATACGGTACAGCTATTAAATGTCACTGTAGCATCCTCTGAAACTTATCATTAGAGTTGGAACTGACAATAAAGTTGAATATCTGAAGACAATCACTTGTTCAATTGCTTGACCTTTGGCTTATGATGATGAGAAGGTTTCTAGCTTTCCCTGAAGGAAACCTTATACTAAAGAAAAAAACCCAAATATGTAAAAGTTACTGGTTTGAACAAGGTCTTTACTAACATATGGTACTTAGGTTAAAGCTTGAAATACTAATACTCAGAGAAAAACATTAAAACAGTAATTACAGATCAGCAGAATTATTTAATTCATTGAGACCAACAGGACAAACACTAAACAGGTATTTCTGAAATCTGATTTCTATATACAAGCAGTCTTCATTTCTTCATAAAAGCATTAAGAGTCTACTTGCAAGATGAAGAGTCACCTGTTCTGTGGACGCAAATTATCAACAAATTATTAATGGTCTACTTACTTTTTTGTACAGTAGCCTGGAAAAGCTTTCTCTGCTTTTGCTCTACAGGAAGGGCTGTGCCATATTTTACCTTTAACCATTTGTGTGCACTCTGCTTGCATGGTTTGAGGCATTACACTGCAACTAAAGTAATAATGTTCTTACTGGTGGCTAGGTAAGTAAGTGGCTTGTGACAGGACCTTTTACACTGCTAACCTCTAACTGGCGCTTTTCTCACAGGCAGAATGTTCTGAAGAATCACAAGCAAGCTCCATCTACCTTCTACCTACAAGTGGAGTAACAAGGGGAAAATTTTCTAAGGAGTAGCTGAACACTAATAATTTGTTCTGTGAAGCTTCACCATTGCTGTTTTGCTGTGCTGATCAGATACCAAGAGTTTTTAGTAACTGGAAAAATGTTCCTCCTTAGATTAAAGATCCTTTGACTAATACAAGCAGAAGAAAAATCCTTCAGTTGGTACAAAATATTTATTGTAAAGTATTCAGCTCAAATACATGCAATCAAATATCTTTGACCATAGGAAGTAAGAATGTTCTGAGATGTACTTAAAGCCAAGTTGTAGCCAACATAAGATTTTCATAGTTAAATTTGAACTTCCTAGTAAACATTTTAAGTACTGACACCACTAATAAGTGGTATGTACAGTGCCCTAAAAAGGGTTAAAAGAAAGCATAATGTTCCATAGAAACGGCACCCTTAACTCGTACATTATGAGAGGTTTAAGTAAATTTAATGATGAAACAGTCAATCACAAGTTTAAATATATTACAAATTTACTTACTGTATGAGCACTGTTAAGTGTTTCTATGTCTGTGTTCCTCATTACTAGCCAAGATTTTGGAAGTCTTAGGTAAAATACTTTGAAGTGGCTCTCCAGTTGAGTTCCCTAAATGCTTTCCCATGCCCTTGATTCCTGTCCCCAAGCTACTGAAAAAGACAGGGAAACTCAGCCAGCTACCAGCATTAGCTAACCAGCAGTGTAACAACATCCTGGCCCTACCATGAAGCCAAGCTACTATAAGCATCAGTAGTATTTTCTAAGACTAATCTGAAGCTGAACCTGTTTTAGTAGGTACAGAGCAGTCATCTTAAACAGGTCTGATCAAGGGTGGAGCAAGGCTATCCAGTTACCCTGTTGAAGCCGAAACTCAGCATGTGGTATTTCCAGAATTGCTGACACCCTCATCCTCCAGTTCCAGCAGCCAGGACAACTTTTTCCCCTACTCTACAGAATCTCCTGCACAGGATTTTTCACCTGATGAACTGTCAAAACACCAATATCCTGCAGTCTAAAAGGGAAAGAATGACAGAATTAGCAAGATAAAATACCACCTTATCCTCGGGTGAATTTAGCCAACCCTGAGGAAAGTTAATACAAATGCTTAAAAAGGCAAAGTGTGTCACCAGCTACCTTGGAATTCACAAATTACTTAGTCTTCTTGAGAACTGAATTAAGAATGCAGCGAGTTACAATTATTGCATTTATCTTTGGCTTTCAAATCTTCATCTTGTTTATCCTCAGGAACAGATGTACTATTTTGGGGAAATCAGTGCTTCCTTTTTAGCAGGTTAAGATGCTAGGTCTAGGCTTCTAAACTTGCAACTCGGCTAGGACCTTCTGACTTTGAGGGGTTCTGACTACAACCCTATTGACTTGAAATCCAAAATCCATTGCAAAAAAAGTTCTCCTCTTAAATGGCAGAGTTGTGCAAGGACATGAAACCAAGAACCCATGCAAAATATGGCTGCAATTCAATTTGATTTTAAAATTAATTCAAAGTTGCATACTCAGGTTGGCCAAGACACTAATGAGTCAGTTGACAAAGTTCTTCATGCCATTTTTGCCAGCAGAATGATGAGGAAACTATCCTATGGTACCACTGGCAGCTTCTCCTCATTCCCAGGCGAGGGTACTCTATTAAGCATGCATACTGAGAGCAGTATCAAGGAAATACATGTCAATGTATAGTCTTCAGCTTTTATCCTTTATTACATACACAGCAAAGAAGGCAGCATTAGACACACGCACAGTGTGTTACACCCATTCCATCCACGGCACGCGCACACACACACACAGCCTTAAAAAAGTGTCGGTGATAAGGAACATATTATAAAGGTTGTGATCTTTATCTCTAAGCCCCTGAGCTTCTTCTTATGGTTAGGTGAAAAGGCAACAAACAAGTCTTTTCTTGCTCTATAAGTGCTTTGTGCAACGATGTCCATAGAGGTCATAAGTCTTTTTGGGAGGAGTGAATGTCTTACTCCCATATTCACAGTCTCCTATCACTGTTTTTGCACCAAATGGTTTCCAGTTATGTTTAGATGTCATAGGCGGCTAATATAGCTCTTGCTCTTGTGATAAAGTTAGGAAAGGTTCCGCAGATCAGAAATTAAATGCAGGCCCCTCTTTCTCTCAAGGGATGTCATCTCGGTGACACTGCAGGACTAGAGAAGTTACCAGAATTTCGTGGGGACTGAAGAGGCACAGATGAAGAACTGGGAGACAGTTTTCTTGGGCTGCATAGGTCACCATTGTGCAACTTCCACAAAAGTTCTTCATTTTCCATTGACAGGCGTTTGTTTACTTTTGATTCTTTTTCTAGCGACTCCTGTAAAACAGCTTGCTCTGTAGAAAGTTGCCTGCAAATTGAAGATTTACATCAGAACACATAACTCAACTTGGAGGCTGCAGTATTCAAACTTTAAGGAAGGTTTGAAAGTGCATAAACCTTTGCTTTGCTTTAATAGGAGGTCTGAGCATGTTCTCATCCTAGCTATGTTTAAACGGGTAGCTTGCAGAAAGCAGAAGAAAGTCCCAGTAAGAAACATCCCTAAGGACCAGAAAAAGCATCTGGAAAGTGAGGCTTGTCCTGCTTAAACAACACGTGCTTTTAAATGGCTGTGCTGGAGCCTTTGGGTCTTGTTGCAGGCTCAGCTCAGCATAGAAGCTACAGATTCCTTCACACTGGAAGAGTCTGGCCATCCCTTTAAGCAACCGTTAGGAGGAGCTCTGACCGGTTTTATTCATGTTAAATATTACTGTTATTGCTAAATAAACCACACTAATCTAAAGTGGGGACAAATCAATCACTGAAGTGATTATAAGTATGACCCAAGTCTAGCTTACAAGCCAGTAGTACTTCAAAAGGAAAATTTTTGTACGATGATATTTCTGAGTTGCTGTTTCTTCCCTAAAATACTGGATTACTGAAGAACATACTAAACCTTTATCCTCTTTCAAAATATTGCTGCTTGTTAACTATATAAAGGAATGCACATTTTATAGAGATTCAAGTGGGGAAGAAAGGGAAGTATTCTTTCACAGAGGACTAAAAAATTGCATTCACCAATACTTCAAGAGAATTGTCTTTCTTGTCACAGGAACCCATTCCCCTTGATTAAGGACATCTAAATGTCCAGAGATATTTTTCACCTTGAAAGCTCCATGTGTTTGTCCATCCGAGCTTTTAATTCTTCATTTTCTTGTTGAACCTTCTTTAATTTATCCATTAAGACTGTGTTGTTCTCCACCTTGGAAAGAAGGTCACAATTTGAAGTAAAATCCATGCATGCACTCATCAAGATTCTGACTCAGCTATACAGATGCTGACAATCTCGAGTTTGCAGAGATTGTTACAGTACCTACAAAAATACCCTATTTACCTTATCCTTGCATAACACTGCTGCCTGGCCACTTGTGCTGATTAGATGCCAACGAGGACTGGGTAAGGGATCTATTGTTCACCAGCACATTCCAGTAATTTCTGTCAGTGATGGGCAGCAGTTTTAGACACTGTAGCACCTTTCTAGACAGAAGACTGTCTAGAAATAACAACAAATTAAAGAGTTTGCCTGAGTAAACAGCTTTTCCTATTGCTCTTCTGATTCCACGTCATTGCTGGAGGACTTTGTCAAAAATAAAAGTGGTTAAGTGGTTGCATGGTCCAAGGCCTTCTACACTGTGGCCAAAGTCTGTTGGAAAACATGCAGGTTTGCTAGCAATTTGCTAGTAATTGTAGACTAGGGTAACACACACTGCTTCACAATACTGAAGCTGACATCAATGTGTTCCTTTGTATCCAAACCTCTTTCTATACTTCCTCATTAAAGGCTTGCTGAAGCAAGTATTACAACAGTGTTCAAAGGCCCCACCCAGAAGGACCCTGTCCTGTCACAAATAAAAGCATGCCAAGTGATTACAAGTCCTGCTTCCAAAACTGACTTTTCAAGTGGAATCACGCACAGGTCAGGAAGACAGCCACGCAGCTAAGCAAAGCTTAGCAGCTAAAGTGATTGGCCTAAGCTAATCAAGACTTACTCCATTTCATATGTGATCCCTTCTTGTTAAATTAGGATCATTTCCTTGTTAATGTTTTCCTGACACTGCAATCTATCTTCCATACCACTTGAGCAATGTAGCAGGTAAGAATTTTGTTCTTCAGGGGAAGAGGCTCCCAGGTAATCTGTACTAACAGAGCAATAGTTTATGTAAACCAGTAGTTGTCTTAAGATGTTAAAAGGTCATTTAGAGCATCAGGTCATTCTTTTCACCTCTTGACATATATCCCATCCTAGCTATATTTACCTGCAGTGTGAGCATGTCCCATCATGAATTCCTGTTTCCTTTTAAACAAAAAAGATTAATTCTTGCATGTAAGTCTGTCCAGCCCAAGTTCATTACAGGAACAGAAGTCAGAGATACAGCCCCAGCCTCCCAAACCCCAAGGAATGCTCACCAGCTTTTCCATCTTCATTAGTTTTATGTCCTGCTGATGGAGTTTCTCATTCTTGATCTCCAGCACTGCTTTCAAACTTTCCAGCTCTTGTTCCAGGTACATAATCTGTGGGTTTTTCTGAAAGATTGCCAGAGAGTTTGCTTAGTACCCTGAATTTCAGGAACAATTTAGATATTTCTCTGCTATTTAGAAAAAAACAAGGAAATAATTGCAGTAACAAGTTGCTGGTTTTAAGTGAAATCAAGTCAAACACTAGAATAAATAACAAGATCTGGTATCACTTTTTCCTTAGTTTTTGTTTATCCTTCAGGGTAGGTGGACAGTTGCAGTTGCTTCATTAGAAGTTGTACAGAAAACACTTAATGCACAGACATGAAAAACTCTCATGAATCAAAGGAAGGCATGAATCCTGTCACAACAAAACTTGTTTCACAGGAGTGCCCAAAGCCTTAAGGCTAGGAGTTCCAAAATTTATTTCATATTACTCATAACCCATCCCAAGAGATAATTAGAGTAAACATTTGAAGAGTTTACAGGCACTGGAATAGTTCAAGAAAGCACCAGAAGTTTAAGTTCTGAACTTGACTGTAGCTTAACTTCCCTGGTTTGAAGGTATCTGGCTCATAATCAGAAATTGAAAGTTCTTCTGAAGCCTGAAAATGCAATTATACATACAAATCTTCCACTGGTGCACATCCATAACTTATATACAATATAGCAAGTTAGGACTTTTTTATTTTTTCCTCTCTGTATTGCTTTCTGGGGGATGGAAGGGAGAGCATGAGGAGGCCAGAGCAGGGTAAGATGTGGTTGCCTTGAGGACCTGTTTTCCAGAGTAAGAAGCTATTCAAACACTGCAGAGTAGAACACATTCTCTGCATTTCAAGGCAGTCACAGCCAAAAAAAAAAGGAAAATAAAGCACATCATAGTCCATTTCCAGGTAGTGAGAATAGAACATGAGCTGAATTCAATCAATGATTAAGCACGTTGTGTAACAAAGTTTATCTTCAAAATCAAACAAAACTTGTTTTAGTGCATTTGGGTAAGAACACAGGTGCACCAACACTGAGTAACAGCTTCACTGCCACACCAGAAACCTCGGACAGGAGGTGTGGTCCCAGGACAGGGCCAGGACATGTCACAAGTAATAGGGGCTTCATCACCTACACAGTTCATTCTCCTGCTTGTTTTTATGGCCTGTTACAGTAGTGGTTTTTGTTTAACTTCTTTTGAGAAGTCTGCGCGAGGGTGAAGCATGCTGCCCTGCCTCAGCGAAGGCAGCAGATGATCTGTTCCTGTTTTGTGACTTTAACATGGAATCTAGGAGCTAACAAGAAAAGCAATCCTGAAAAGTTTAAATGTTATAGTATGTTGAATACTCAATTTATTTTCTTTCCCTCCTCAAGTCCAATGGTCTTAAAATGTGTTTTTAAAGTTAAGTCTGAGCCCCCACATTAGCTACTCAGAGGAGAACACACAGCCAAATGAAAAGACTGAAAAGGCCTACATAAGATTTTAGCAACCTGGCAATATCAAGTGACACTATCTAAATTATACAAGAGAGGTGGAAATCAATTCTCTCAAATTCCTCTATTCAAAGGGTTATTGGGAATTCTGGTACTGCGGAATTTGTGTTTTGTACACAAGAGTACACTGAGTCAAACTGGTGCTTTTCCAAAGAGAAGTCTTAAGCTTATCATGCATGTTATGCTGCCAGGAAAGCACAAAGCACACTTGCAGCTATGTAAAGGCATTTGGCTAGTGCTCCTTTAAGTTAAGCAACATCTGAGTGTGCCTGTGGAATTACAGTTCAAACTCCCACTGCCACAGCAAAATATTGTGGTTGCAGATCCTTCTTGTGGCAGCTCTGTCCTGCCACTACAATAAGCAATAAGAGAAAACAGAACAAATTCCAGTGAAAACTAAGGCAACTTCCACTAGAGGCATCCTAAGTGAGTCTTTAAGCATGGAATTTCTCTTTGTGGAATAAGCATACTATTGGTATTCCACTTACTTCTGGGTAACCAGAAAGATAGACATGTTTGTGTCAACCCCACCACACTTGGTGCATAAATAAACCCTCTCTGAGAACACATTTCTATCCCAGGAGCATCACAGGGAACAGCAGCCTTGGGAGGTAAAGCAGGACAAAATAAAAGTTTCTTTGAAGGATAAATCAGCAAAAAGTATGAATCAACGTTTGAATAAATGCATTAGAAATAAGCTTTGCAGCAGTGATGCAAGCCCACACTGATCATAGCACCGGTACAGCAGTTAGCAACTGTCCAGAAAAATGCTATGGTACAACTCGTGTAAACACATGGGTCTTCAATTTAGCTTAGGCTATTATTTACACCCCCTGACTTAGATACTCAACAGCTTTATAGAATTATAATGGTAAAGTTAATACAAAGCATCACAGTGCTTGCGAGAAACTTCTGGCAGATGAGCTGTTTACAAAAAAATATTACTAATTACTAATACTACAAAAAATATTACTAAATATTACTACTAATATTACTGATAGGGGTATGAGACCCCTATCAGGCTTCATTGCAAATTTTTTTGCATTATGCAATAAAATGAACCCAGGCAAGATCTGTTCATCCACATTACTTTGGAAGATCAAGACTTACAAGATTGGCTTTTTCTTTGGCTATTTGTTTTTGTTCTTCTAATTTCAGCTTCTCACTCAGAGAGTTGTTTTCACTTTTTAGTTCATCAATTTTTTTCTGAAATGTAAATAAATTGTATCATTAGGTCAAGAATTCAGTGCACATCTCCAAACTGCTTTTCAAGTTTTAAACTGCTGCAATGAACCCAGCCCTTTAACAAACCTCCAGCAACTCCTGCTTCTCTTTAAAGGAATCTTCAAGCGACTTCCTTTCAGATGCATGGGTACTCTTGAGCTCTAAAACAAATTATTTTTGCAGATTTTTAATACCACATAAGACATGAAAATTCTTTTTAAAAAAAAAAAAAACAGCCTGAAGAGCCAGCCTACAAATATATACATAGATACAGTTGATGGCAATACAGAACATTTATCATTAACTGACACAAAGAATTTATTAAGTATCGTATTTATTCCCACTTCAGATTTGCTGACTGTACCCTCCCATATCCATTTCATTAGCAGACAGCCTGTGAGTTTTAAAAGCATTCACCTGCATGCAACAAATGTAAGCACAGGTCACATCTGAGAAAAGTTGAGTTTATGGAAGGAAACACAGCAAAAATTAAAATTGTGTCTTCCACAAACTTCTAAAAAAACATTTATTTTCCTACTTTGGATGCCATGCAGAGGAGTTTGCTCTTTGTAAGCAATGGAAGCATGACAAGTTTTCAAGACAAAAAAGTATTACTGAAAACCTAGCTATCAAGTGGAGTTGGAAGTAGGCTGGAAATCATCATCCCTTAAATTAATGAGATGCAATGTAATTTAAACCTGAGCATATCACCACCCCCTCCCTGAAAAACACCTGTGCCACAGTGTACAACACACAGTGTATAATATTTCTTAACATTTCCATGTCATTATGGAAAGCACACATCCCTACTTATCCTCATTTTCAGTTTTGAGGCACTCTTTACAGAACTAGGGGGTGGGAGGAATTATTCATTCACTTGAGATTTTAAGGGCAGTTCAAGTGTCTTTTACTGGAAGAAAAAGTAATTTTCATGGTTTTTGCTGCATGTAAAATAAGACTTGTCAGTTCCAAAGAAAGGAATTTAGCCAATGTTTTTAAAGATAGCTTGCCACAAAGGACAGTGGACATAATGATCAAAATGCCTGAGTATTTTTGTTTGTGACTAGCAGTACTATAGCATACATACTTAAATACAAAATACTTGCCTGAAAAAGAGGATTCATACTCCTTTTTCAGCTCCTCTACTTTTTCTGAGTGTCTGTTTTCAAGTTCCAGCTTAAAGCTTTCATGTGTGGTATTTAAATTGTCCACCTGCAATATGACAACATGATTTTTTTCCCCTTACATGTATCAACTTAACCCTTGTTTAAAGCATTGTTTTAAACAATACTTCATGCACTCTGTCAAGTACATTTAAAACTGTCGAGCAGGATTCAAAAGTAGAAGCTAAGCCATGTATAAGACTTAATAAATGAGAATGATGCCTTACAGTTTACTGCTACCAACAGGAAAATGTGTGCATCTCTCACACACATGGAGCTGCAAAGCAAGGTCAGAGGGCGGGTGTGTTTCTAGAAATCTTAAAACTCAAGCTGGCTCAAATATCCTATAGAGCTCTAGAACTAACTTAAGCTGGCAGAACACAACCAATCTCCACCATATTTAAACATAACCTAACATCTGTACAGCTAAGTGTGAAAGTGTTTTTTATTGCTGCAATGAAGTGGAATTTCACATGAAACAGCTGTTATTAGAAAACCCCAGGATTCTCTGAAGGATCATTTGTAGCAGAAAGCAGTTGCTAGAGAACTTTTCTACTTTGAATGTTACAAACCTGCTCCTGGAGCTGGGCTTTGTACTTTTCAGCTTCCTCAATGCAGATACTTCGAAGTTTCTCACATTCTGCAGTGTAAAACTGTTTAAGCTTCTCCTCCACCTCAGCTAAGTCATCATTATGTTTCTGGTTTAACTTCTGCAAATACCCTTCATAAGCAACTTGCAGTTCATTCCTGTCTCTTTCCAATTTCTCACAAGCTGCAGAAGTGGTTACTGAAGTTGTCAAAAGAAAAAAATAAAGAAAGGAACTGGATCAAGTTCAATACAAAAGTCACATCTTCATTTACAGTATTAAAAACAGTGAACACATTACACAGGAACATGGTTATATACAAAGACAAATATGATTTATCCATTAAATGTGTGCCTCCAAGGGCACATGAAAATATCTTCACAAAAATATCAAATTCCATGTTTCTTAGGCTGAGAATTAATTGAACGCAGTTAAGCCAGGAGCCCACATAAAAAGCACAAGTGTGACAGATTGACATGACATGGAAGGAGGAATGTCTCATGAGAAACACTGAAAAGCTCCAAGAAAAAATATTAATTGCATTTGCTACTTTACCTTATTTGATGCCATTCAGTAGAATATTTGTCAGAGTACTTCCCTTTTTGACATGTAAACCACTTAGTTAATTTGAAAATCTTAATTTCCTGAAAACTCTATGTTTAATGACACCCACACTCAGATATACAGCAAAGAAGCAATTCTAGTCTGACACGGACCTGATACAGATCTGCCAGTCTGAAAGGTACTCTCATGTGTTTATGCCTGAGATATTTAAATATGGAAGACAGAGAATGGTTTTAGGCAAAAAATGCAGAGTATTAAGAAAAGAGAAATGTAAGAAAAGAGAAATGCTGTGCAATTCTCTTTACAGCTGCATTAACACAGGTCTGCTAAGAAGGCTGCCTAGGTTTGTCTCCCCATATTTGCAGCTGCTTGAAAGGCAAAACAGAAGTTAGCAACTTCCATTTTTGAGTTTAAAATCTAGCATTTCAAAGTCCAGCCAGCCAGGCCTGAATAGGAGGGGTCATGTTCCTACTGTTAATACCACTGCAGCAAATGCTGCACCCAAATCTCTAACACAAGTGTATGATCACTGACCTTGTGCAAAACTGGTTCTATACAGACTCTAGTACTATGGCTTAAAATATACTAGTCAGATGAGTGGCTGTTTAAGAGGAAAATCAACTAAAATGTTAACTTGATCTTCAAAGGCAGAAGTCATGCATGCATGCACTTCACAGCAGACTGGCACACTGCCCAAACAGTGTAAATATAAACTCTATGTAAAAGCATGGGAAGAGGCAAGGATTTTTTTAAGGCTGTACAGGAAATTCTCATCACAACAGTGTTTGAGCCTTAAGATAAATAAATTACAGTATCCTCAAGGACTGATTCCCAAAGTAGTAATGGGTCAGCTGAAGGGAAAGCAGCCTGCCCCAGCAGAATGCCTCAAGTTACACGTGTCTTACTCTTCTTTGCTATAGATTATTAGAAGCACGTGAGTAACTTAATGAATACTTGCATTCTCTTTTAAGTGAACTGTAAAGAGTCCTGGCCCTGCCACCATCACTTGGAACCTGCAGTGGAACTAGGAAGTGTTAAGAGAGCAAGCTGTACTGCATGGAAATCAGTCTATCAATGTGTGTCTACCTGAATTAGGCTTAACAGCAAGCTTAGCTATGTCGGGTCTATGCAAAAGATGTGCTGATCTAGACAGATTTAGGCCAAGCTCTTCATTCTCTGACTGGCAGTGATGCAACGGAGGCTCAACCGAAACCTACCACAACATTCTCTGCAACTCAAGCAGATTTCACAATTTTTGCTACTTTCTGCAGCAGCATCAGAAGTTTTTCCTCCCCTATCCTTATTTGTTTCACAAATTTCTCTTAAAACTGCTCCCTTAGGGAAAGGGAAAAAAAAATTAGCCTGCACACTTCTACCACATTGCAGGGGCATGAAGTTAGTGAAGATTATATATATATATATATATATATATATATATATATACACACACACACACTCTGCATTGCCACGTTTTTGGAGAAGAGGTAACATCATTGTTAGAGGACATTATATTACAATGCCAAGAACCAGGCAGCAAGCCAAATGGAGGTATTACACAGCCAGCCACATGCAGATGGAGCTGACCTTCTATAGCAGAGTAAGGGCATAGCTGAGAGGCAGGCGACTTGCATGGCTTAGTTGAGGTAACTGCAGCAAAATGCTACAAATGATCCACTTCATTTAAAACCAACAGAGGAAGAAGCATCAAATTCCTTATTTGCAAGGCCAGACCTATTAATTTGCCTCCAGTTAGCCAGAAGAATGTGCTGCCTTATCGTTGCCTTATCTTTAAATGTCAGCACGCAGAACTTCAGATGATGCAAAGCACTTCAGAAAAAAGCAAATAGCAAACCACACCTTTGTCAAAGAAAACAGACGCATCAGTTTCCCTTCAGGCACTTTGCAATTCAGATTTATGAGAAGACTAATGTTACAAAGGCAAACAAAAAACTTCTGAAACTTGCACTAGCAGTTAAAAGTTGTTACCGTAAAGGTAACTCTGGCCTCCACAAAGCTGGAGGCTGCAACGCTTCCTTGCAGATCACAAGCCTGACATATCCCTGCCATCCAAAGAAGCAGAATTACTACACAACCAGTAAACTCCCAGTATCATGGTGGTGCAAGAACTGACCATAGTTTTTCCTGACTTCAGGAAAAACACCAACTAAAGAATTGTAAATTTGAAATTATGAGATGTCCCATAAACCAAAGCTTGTCTAAGTACTTGAAATTGAAAAGTGTGCAGCAAGTATTTTGTATAATCCTATCCATCTGCAGACTGAATCATGTATTTTACGACAGCTCTGCTTTTTTTAAAGAAAGTTGCCTTTTTCATAACTTGTCCCAAAATCCTTAATTTGGTCATTTAGCCACTGACTAACCAAACTTGATTGCTGCTCAACTGAAGAGTATTTTCACTGAACTCATGCTAAACTTTAACTGGAACATGTGTTCTTCCTGTAGCAAACACACAAATCTATTTCAACTTCTCATCCACTTCAGAGCTACCTGAAGTGCATGCTTCACAGTTTTTGTACACTACTACTCTGTTTCCTTTCCCTTCTGGAAGCACTTTTCTTCTCAATTCCACATCTTTAGACCACAAACCTTGAGAAAAAAAACAAACAAAAAAACCAAAAAAAACCCAAAAAAAACCCAAAAAAAAACCCACAAAAAAAAAGCGAAAGGAAATAAATGGTCCAACAGCATTTCAGGGAAAAATCAAGCCATAGAGACGAAAAATACACTAGCCTTTTATCTGTCCAGCATTACATTTTACCTGTAACACAGAACAGTTTTAAGGTTAGTGTATATGGAATGCTATACTTAGCAGCCAGAAGCAATCTTTACTTCTTTATTCATATAGTAGAGCCACTAATATATTTTTTCCTCCAAATATGAATATTTTCTTTCCACTTGGTTGTCCCAGCTTCTCTTCCCAATCATACAACTGTTTCTCCCTGTATCAGTACAGCACAGAGCAAGATTAATCTGTGTTTTTAGGCTTCTTAACACCTTTAATTATAAATTAAGAGGCTGGTTCTTTTGGGCCCGACCATGACCTTTAGAAATCATGCAAAGTTTCTGAGATTTGGTAACAGCAAATCTGCAGAGCAGAAATGCTGGTTTTGACATGTAATATTACCCTTTATTTGTAGCAGTTAACATCACCAACTTGCATCTTGGGTATTTCACTATGAAGCTTTTCAAGTGCCAAAATCATAAAACAAATGCCTGCAAGAGCAGCATGGAGAACCAGGCACATGGCAACTCCCCACATGGTGCAAACAGCAGCACATCCAAACCAGAGCAACAGTAGCTGAAGCTGAACAGAGGACTACAAAAGTTGCCTTTGTATCTCCAAGAAAGCTATTTTGTATTTTCACTAAAAGTAGCCAAGAGATAAGACCTTACAATGGTGCAGCATCTCCTTTCACTTTTTTTTTCTTCATTCTAAGCATCATCCAAATTCAGCCCTTATGGTCTAACTGCTTAGATTAAACATTTTTCAACTTACATTCCTCTAGAAGCTACCATAACCATAGCTCTAAGATAAAATACAATGGATTTTTTGGAACCCTGAATTAAATGGTTTGCAAACAGTAGTTACTATCTTCATAAAATTGTCCAAGTCACTCACTGGCCTAGTTATGATTTATGAAAAGACATTAGGCTGTCTGAAACACTAAACCAGCGTTCACTAGGACAGTAAATTGTCAGCATTTTAATGGTGTGTGTGTGTGTGTGTGAAATGGGGATTATTACCACAAAAAAGCCCAAATATTTAGAACTACATGATACTACACTGCGCTAACATTAATTGCACACTGCAAGCTGTATGTTCACTTGACCAATAAGTCTGCTACAGACAGGCTCATTTCCTTCTCTATACAACACATATTTTTATATCTATACAATAATTAATTAATGGTATTGGCAGACTCTCAATATTGAAAATTCTTCTACCCAAACATGCTTTCAAGTTTATGACCAAGTTTCTCTTGGTGTTACTTCCATAATGAAACTAATTATTCAGGACATTAAAGCACATTGCATACTTTTGTTCTTGGGCAAGTTAGACAAGGCAGGTAGCCAAAAAATTCTGCTTTAAGCAACATTTAAGCAGGTATGCTTGAATAAATACCATGAAGCACTCACTTCTCTGCTAGGAAGTAAATTCAGATCCCCTATGCTGCAAACACTACAAGTGACAGACTGTTCAAGCAGGCAAACAGACAAGTCTATGAAGTGTGGCAAGTCAGGCCCTGTCTCAAGTAAGTGAAACATCCACCTATTATTAAGTATTTTTAAGGATCACCTTAGCTGAAAACAAATCACACACATTCACTGTAAAACACAACAGTCTCTTCTATCTGAACTTCCAAAGCATTTTGAAGATTAATTTAGTAATAAAAAAAAAAAAAACATTGAAGGTATTCTGAAGGAAATACAGGTTTTTGATTGCCATGCAGCTGGTGAGAGAGGGGTTTGGCATTGGGCTGCCAGTTCAGGGCACACACAGGCTCACCAATGGAAATGTTCAAAGGGCCAAGGATGGCGCCGGCTGAGTCAACTTTGCACCTGCTATTTTGTAGCAGCACTCAGCTGGATCACATCCAGCATGGCTGCAAGGAGGCTCTGAAACAATCTGCAGTGCAATTGATTTAGAGGAACAGTTTCATACCTCTCAAGAAATATGCAGCCCTTGCAATTTCTACTTACATAATTAAACAAGTAACTAGAAGTTTACACACAGGCCTGTATCTTAAGAAGAGAAACAGTTCACAATCAAGACATCCTTAGCTGCTCCAGGCTCCCAGAACTATGGTGCTTTTGTTCAAACCAGTATTTGTAGCTGGAGATTTTAAGGAAATCCAAGTTCAGAACCCAACTGTTATTGAATTTGAACTCCCTTTGGAAAAGCCCATCCCCAAACACTTATCACTGCTAATCCTTGCACATGTTTCCAGTTACTGAGAGCAGAAAGCATTGTCTGGTAACCATCACCCTGCTGGTGCAGTCACATTCCGGGACACAAATGTGTATTTAAACCACTGAACAAAAAGGTATTTTGGTAGAAATGATCATACACAATAATCCAGCAAAACAGACCATCTGACAGCAAGTCAATTTGGTCTTGCAAGGTAAATCAAGGAGCTTGGGATGTGCACAGTTAAACTTCAAATTAAGAAACTGATAAGTCTAAACTGTATAAGCTTCAGGAGATTCAAACATGCAGGAACAGACTCCACTGGGCTGTGCACACCCAGTTCCTCTTAGACTGCCTGGCCCCAAACTACAAACCAACAGTCATTAAAAACATGGCAGCTGGGACTCCACAAAACATCTACATGGCCAAAATAAGACTCACACTGCATTTAACTTTCCCAGCAAACATATGCTTAGATCATACCGTGAATGAAAATCCACGGTACTTACGTCAAAACAGTCTATGGAAATCTTAAGTTCACCTGTATCCATTTAACAGTGTCAACAGAAAGCTGATTAGCAGGTATGTATTTAAGCAGATTATTTTCAGCTAAAGCTACTGTTTTAAGAATGCCTCTCTCACACTTTGTCAACAAATTATTAACTTAAAAAAGAAAAACCCCAAACCAATTTCTTTTTAAAGCTAGATAGAATTGAAGACCTGGATAGTTTTTAATTTCTGTAATTAAAGCCACTCCCTTTACATGCTGAGGAGAGCAGTATAGACAGGCTAGACGTGTGACATGGTTGGGACAAAGGAGCTGCATGAAAATAAATAAAAGCTTCATGAAACCATGGTCTGGAAACCTTACAAAGGGAAGCGAACCCCAGGCTGCCACTTGGATGCTCCTGCAGAAATAACCCAGGAAGGTCAGCCCTGTGAGGGGAACAGCTGACGATGCCATCCAGCAGCACATCAGCCACCATCCCTGAGAGCTCTGGGCACTCGGGTGTCACAGATCCATCGGGCACAGCTGCATTTGAAGTTTTTTCTAGTTCTCAACCTACTGAATGGCACATGCTTGCAATGGGAGTCTCATTTATGAGCTCAGCAGGCTGCTAATCAAAGCAAGAAGGTAAGTTTATGGAAAGCTCATTTAAGCATGAGGCATCCTTACAAAGAGGTAAGCATTCAAAAAAAACCCCTCTCAAATCCCACCAAAACCCTCAAATGTGGTAATGGGCAAAAGTGTTGGCCAGCTTTTGGTCTACCCATCTAAGCAGAATTTTCCCTTTCTTAATATGTGTTAAACATAGCACCTAGGTTAATAAAGGAAAAATTATATTAAAGATGCAAGCCTAGAGAAGGAAAGAGACTTTTCTGCTCTGATAGCAATCCTTCTGAAGTAATTTTCTTGCAGTAAATGAATGGGGTTGCTCAGAGAATCACATTAAGTACATAAATAAGAAGAAATCAGGTTTATTAAGTTCATAACACAACTTTTTAGTGATGTAAGAAGGCCATTTCCACATTAAAACCCTAGTCCTGTTGTCACTTTAGGGTAATAGAAACATCAGTTGCAGCTGATGGGAGACACAACCCTGCACCCTGCAACTCCTTCCGCATTAGAGAATGCGGACTCCAGACCCAGTATTCCTTCAGTCACATACTGAAGTCAGGCCAGGCAGCTTTGGCAAAACAGCATTACCAGCCAATAGTTTCAGCTGGCTTAGGTCCCCAGGCAGCTCACTGCATCAGTGGGGACATGGCTGCCCCTGCAGCAATGCTGGCACAAGGAGGACAGAGGGATGCAAAGGCAGGGGAAGGCCAGGCTCTTTCAAAGCCAGCCCCTACTGAAACCTGCCTGGAACATCTGCTAAGTTCAAATACATTACATGGAGCTACCACTAAATGCAGTTACATCAAGATTCAAAGTTGGCAAAACCAGCCACTGTACACAATAGCTCAATTTCATGTTATAGCCACCCACTAGGATGAATTCAAAGATTTAATCTCATCAGCCTGAAAGCATTTCCTTCTGCTAATTTTACACTCATTCAGCAACAGGTCACTAAGGCAAAAATGCAGATTTTGCACAGTATGTTTTACAGGGTTATGAATTTTTTGCCAGTAAATGTGTAGAAGATGGCATACAAATGAATTAGGGATCAAAAGTATATATGCTGTCAGCCATCCTCCCATTTTTTAGAAGTGAGTGCTTTGGTCATCAGACACGTGTTTTGTAAGGAGGCCCTGCAAGGCACAGTCAGATCAGTGCCAGGAATTCAGTGAACCTGGGGTCATGCTGTCAGGGCTCCACAGCGCTTAAAGCATCTGAGTGGAATTCAGTCAGGGAATTAAATGACTGCCATTACAGTACCAGGGCATCTGTCTTCTGCAGATCTGCTTTGCTGCATTTCTGTTCTCACGATGAATACAAAAATAAATTCTTACCTAGTTCTCCTCGAAGGTTAAGTAGTTCTTGAGATAAATCTTTCCGCTGCTTCAGTGCTTCCTCCCTCTGCAGAGAAAAGAACAAAAAATCCCAAACGTTTGGTTACTAGTGGTCTGAGCAGGGCACCTTCCAATAATTAACTTCCATGTGTTCTGTAGGAAAAACAAGAGGCAGGAGCAAGAAGCCAAGATATGACTCATTTAGGATAACAGTTCAGCTGTTACAATATACACAGATGTTCTTCTGTTGTTAAGGAAGTTATACTTTAAAACAAAGAACAGCTTTTTCCAGGACAGCTCTGCAATTAAAATTCTAATTTGCAGCAATTAATTATATATTTTATGGTGGGTGTAGCAACATAAGCCTCCAGAACAAATCAAGTGGTAGATGTCAAGGGCACAGAAGTATAGTGTATATGTGAAAGAGGCATGCATTAAATATTTATCTTAAGCTTACTCAAACACAAAACCAACAACTTCGCTAAATGCTTAGTCTTCCAAGCAGGAAAGCTACAGCCCTGTTCAAAGTTGAACACAACCCACCCTGCGGCGCGCAGTTCCTAATGTTAAGAGAGATGGTGTTTCTTACACGGAGAGAACCACAAGGAATGTGCGAACAGACCGTAACAAAGCAGATGCACCCATCTCCCTGCTTTCCCCAGGAGCTGTGCCCCGGCCAGGAGGAGGCGGCCAGGCCGCCGTGCCCAGAGCCGCGGCGCAGGCACGGCACGGGCAGAGCCGCTGCATGGCCCGGCGGTCACCGCTCCGCACCGCGCGGAGCTGACACGGTGCACGCTCCCGGCGGCAGGGCGCTTCACCGCGCCCCCGGCGAAACAAGCACGCGTTACCCTTGCTGCAGCGCACTGAGAATACAGGCACAGCTTGCTGCTAGAGCAGCCCATCTTCCAGCGCCGGCAGCCCCCCGCTCGGCCCCCCGGCCCTCATCGGCGACGCGCGGCTGGGGCGGCACCACCGAGCCGGGCAGGTCCGGCCGGGCCGAGCGCCGGGGCCGCACCGCGCCTCCGCAGGTTATCCTGCGTCCGCGCCCGGCGCTCCCGGCAGCGGCAGATACTGCAGCTTCTGCAATTGGCACAGGCAGCCAGCGATCACTTAAAGCCACAGCCCTTCTTTTATGAAACGAGAGCCCAGACATTAGATCGATCGATCTCCACTTGCTCAGACAGGATCACTGAGGGAATACTGCCCTTCCCTACAGATAAACGAGCTTATTTTTAGCTGTTTCGAGCTTGCTGTACGCCGCTTTCATGCTTAATTTGTTGATTCAAAAATAAGCCACGGGAGGCCTAAACCGAATAGGAGAGCCACAGACAGAGAAGCTTTGCTGCTGTCAATGCCCAGGCTTTTATGTTCAATAGCCCCGGTGCACGCAAACAGGTTGAAACTCACTCTGCATGCTTTTTCTTTAGCGAGGATACATTAGGGAAAAAAGAAATCCAAAAAAAACAACCCAACCACTAGTTCAAAAATCCAGAGATGAATGTCCACAACTGAGCACAGCAGATGAATTTGCAGACTGGTTGAGCCACACCTACAGCTGGTTCTCCCCATCGCCTTTACAGCAAACTTGGTCACTCACTGCAGCCTGACCACAGGCTTACATCTTAAGAGCACCCTGGCCTGGAGGCAGGGAATAGTCACTGCATGTCTGCAGAACAAATAAAGCAGTAAAATACACCATTCTTAAGAAAAACTAGAAAGAATAAGCACCCAAAACCCAGCCATGTATTAAAATCTGACACAAGACTAATCAAAATTAGTAATTTTTATGCTACACACTCATTTGCAAGTTTTAGGAAATTATTATGCAGCTGTAAAGGCTGGTTAGAATAAACTCCCAACCCTTTACTATAAATATTTGTATTTTTGACCTTCTATGAGAAAGATTCCCCTTTAATCACCCAATTTAAGCAGTCTTAACAATTCTTTGGATACTTTACACTTTGATAGGTCTAGTAACCAGCTGTGTTGCAGTTTTATATCAAGCACTTAGAAGCTTTTTACAGTGTCAGTGGCTAAGACTGAAAACCACACCTCACCTTCATAGTAAATTCTCAGGAGAGCAGAGAGCTGTTATTGAAACGACTTGCCCTGCTCTTCCCCCTGCTCTGCTCAGAAGGGAGACATGAGTTATCTCACACCAGTTCAACGCCAATGCTCCCACTATGAACACAGCATCTGATGATGAAAATGGGAACGCTACAGTGAGTTATTTGAGCTGCATCCTTGCACACTGGGACACAACCTGCTTTTTTCCAGCCCACTCTGTCAGTAAAAGACCTCAAATTCTCCCTAGTGGCTGTATCATGATGCAGACCCCTTGGACATGCTAACGTTTTTGTTTAGTGTTTCTAAATAGGCTTCTTCATGGTCTCCTCATTTTGTATTTGCTTTCAGTTAAAGAAATCTGATGCTAAAAGGACGTGTGTGATCAGCATATACTAAAGACTAATGACAGGCTAAGACTAAAAATCCAAAACAAAATTGAGTAATCTTTTTCATGTTTCTTGCTGCTCCTAAGCCCTGTTGTTTTTCACTGGTGTTGTTTAACCTGTTGCCTCAGTTCGGCTTACCCATTCATAGTTTAACAAATCCAAGAAATTCAGATGGATTTATATTATCACCTCCTGCTCATGAACACCTTCAGAAAAAACCTGCCAGCCTAAAATAAAAAGACCAAGTTGCTCATATGGATAAACAGCCACCTAAAGTAGTCAGACTAACTAGCAGTTGACTTAGTACACTTTTATCTAAGTTCTGAGAGAACTGAAGCTGCAGGTATAGGGGTTTCCCCAAGAAAACTTTAAATTTTCTGAAATCTGAAATCTAAATGCAGTAAAATACAAAAAGCACTTGAATAATCCAGTAAGAGCCTATCTTCAGTATGGTATGCATATGCTTTGGGCTGGAATATCCAGCAACATTCTAGCTTATACTTAACAAGATTTTAGTTGAAAAATCAGTACTAGAAATTGGAAGAGCTGAACCAAGTTGGAGCATACAGGATTGAGTAATTTTGGCATTGTTATCTGGATAAATCCAGCAATAAGGATCATCTTCATTTAGTTGTCAGAGACTCACTAAGAATCTTCATATCCCTTTACAATTTCTTCTGGTACATTTTATGAACTTATGTGAAGATCAGGTAGATTATTTGGTAGCTATTATTTTCTTTTTTACAAAGAATCTATTGTAGGTTGCACTTTAACTAAAACATCACCCACTCCCCCCTGCCATAAACATGGAAGCTATAGGAAAGAATGAGAACAGAGTTTAGGAATAAAAGGTTTGCCACAGGCAATATTAGAAGGGTGCTCCTCTGCCTTTGAATGCTACAAAAAAGTTCTCAGCATAACAAGGGAGACTTGGACATTCTTGTTCTGAGAAAGATTAGTCAGTTTAAGAAACCTTCACATTTTGAAAATTTGACAAGTTCAAGTAGACATAAGGCCCACAGCAGGCACTTGGGAAGGTGAGGCCCAAGGTAGAAGGTAAAAGAACACAACAGCTTCAAGATGACAAAAACTACCAAGTCAGGAATGGAATAAACTATAAAGTTTATTTTGTTGGCAGTTATGCAGCCCAATTACAGGCTTAAGAGTATTTTTCCTGGCAACTAGCTGATTTTGCTACAGCTTAAGATTCAAACAGAACAGCCTAGGGTCATTTTAGATACAAATAAGGGTGAGGACATATCACTGTCTGAACAGTTTCCATTGCTCTGCTTTGAAAGCAGGAAGCTCTACAAAAGCCCACATTCCAGAATGAGCAAGAGGGATATTTGTGCCAAGCACACAAACAAACAGCCTTCCTGGCTACATACCTATACCAAATCTTCACATAAGACAGACCCAAGTAACCTCCAAGACATCAGGTTCTGAGCAGTTCTCAAGCTAGAATAGGTGGGCATTCCTCGAGTATACCACAGCAACTTTGCAGACCACAAATACAAGAGCATGAGGTTTTACAGCAAACTGGCAACTTTGTATTTCCTTGAGAGCACATGCAACTAGCCAGACTGACCATTCCAGGTTTCCTAGCATGCTCTGCCTGCAAATCAAGGCTTTGAGAGCTACAGATAGGCTATGCCTGGTCAAAAAGTCCTAATCACCTTTTGTAAGTTTTCCCTCCATGTTAAGAGCTGCAAGTCCTTCAACAGTTATTCAATATAAAAAAGCAAATCATGGCAGAAAACAGGTTTTGAGTATGTGTGTCCAAATAAGCTAACATTGCCCAATCTGGTAGTAATTATCCAAACATCACAGTTCACATTTTAAACAAGCACATTCCTTTGGGAAACAAAATATGTACTCTTCTGGAGCTGTACTAAAAAAAGAAAAATTTACAAGAACTAATAAAAAGAAGTTTACATTTGCCTACCAAAATACAGTAACTGTTTGCCTTTTTAATTTCATGTAGCTTATATCACATTGATATCTATGTGATAAGCCACTTGCCACAGTTGCCTGGTCTACCTCAGTAACAGATTCAGAAGCAGCATAATAAATTGCTGCAACCAAAAACTGCAAAGCACTGGTACATTGCAAAGGAAGAGACACAACTCACTTTGAGGCCACGAAATAACCCAGGGAGTCAGGCTGGGTTGTGGGAATTTTCCCATGATTCACCTGGAGCAGCCATCCTGGAATGTTCATCTCAGCTGGGATGCAAGGTGGTCCCTGCCCAGGGAAGTGAGGAAGGGCTCTGACAATGCTGGAACGAAGCCCCTGCAGTGTGCAGACAGGAGGGGCAGCTCTGAGCCTCAGGCAAAGTGCAGCAACTGAACCTTCACTGGTGTAACTGGCAGGTGGGAACACCTCTAACTGGGAAGGCTGTAATCAGCCTTCTAGCTTCCACCAGCAATACACTTCACAAACAACTAATTTAAAGACTCAAAACTTAAAGGAGTAGAAAATTAACTGTTAACTATAAAAGCATCGCGATGCTTTTTTCAAAAAACATTTTATTATAACGGATTAAATAAAATTTGTTCAGAGTGCATAAAACAAATTCATCAATGCAAAGAATGGAAGCACTTAAATGTGTTTT